TACAACCGAACCGGATTTTTACCGTGGGAGTGCCACGGGCATCCCACGGAATAACCTATGGAGACCCGTTCTGGTCAATTTTATTCCAGTATTTTTGCCAGTGCAACACTTTTTGTAAATCTGTTTTGTATTGTTGTCATCACTACATAACACTCTCATCACTACACACACTCTCGCTCGCAAAGCGCGCGCAGCGGAGCACCATGGGTAACAAAATTTGGTAAACTGTCCATCCGAGAAAATTTGGTTATGACGTAGCGTACGCCCACCCGCCCGCCCACCCGTACACACATTTGAGCCTATGTCAAATGTCACAATAGATCTTGCACAACTTGACTAGCCTTTCAGTTATGTACGCCATCCGTATGAGTGCGATTAGATTGACAGCTGTCAAAACCAGACATCCGCTGACAATTATTACATGACCATCTCGCGGCCTCAGATGAAAGACCGGTCGTTTTGCCCCCACATATAAGCTGATATAATATGTCACACTTACCAATTTAACATAAAAACGAAACTACGCCGGGCAGGGCTGTCAGTCGTTTAAAGTTATATTGGCAAGTCAAATTAAGGTCAATTGACAGCTATCAAAATGGGACATGTGCAGACCACTATCAGAAAACTAATAACGTGGGCTCAAGTACACGATCTGGCATTTTCCACTAAAAGCCGGACAGATATGTCTTACACTCGTAGTCTGTTAATTCGAATATTCGCCATTCTAATGAAGGTTGCTTGACAGCTGTCAAACTAGAGTATACGCTGACCATCACCTCCTGACTGTATCGCAGGCTCATTTTTCTATCCATTGAGGTCACGCAGTTTTTAAAGTTTTCCGTTGATATTTTATTTGATCACGGGCTCAATTGGAAGCCCCATAGCTAGAAAATTCAGCAATCACGTGACCGTACACCGACCACCCGATCTTCCGTCCGTCCGCACCACAGGCATACCAATGTTTCATCTCACTCTTCCTAGCTAGTTTGATAGCCTGCAACCTGATATTGTACATCCATGTTTTGATTAATTGACAGCTGTCAAAATAGTGTTTCTGCTGACCAGTATCGCCAGACCGTATCGCTGTCTGAGGTATCGACCCACCGAGTTCGAGTGTTTTTTCGAAGTAATCCGCTGACAAGTTGCTACTTTTAAAATGATCGCAGGCTCAAGTTCAATTTTTTTAAAATGCATATGAAATAAGTCGTGTTCATGAGCCGCACTTTTAAAATTTTGCTTTCGAACTGACCTCGGACGCGAAAATTCAACCGGGTTTTACATGCGGTGAAGGCAATCGCTTTTGACTTTCCTCCGTGTCACGCGTTGATCACGCTCCATGTCCAATTTTTATGTTCTGATTGGTCAAAATTTGACAGGTGAGTTCATTTAAAATTTATGCAGCGTCTGAAAACTTGCTCACTGATAGCTGAAGCTGACAGCGTTTTGTGTCATCTTGTGATGTTTTAAACTGTCTTTTTCTACTTGATGTACAAAATGAAATACAGCTGCTATCAAGATTGTTCTGTAATTCGTGGCTGGGTTGTTTATTGCGCTTTTTGTTGACAAATGCACCGCTTGTCAAAGTCATTGGAAATCGGGATCTCGGATGACATCGTTTTCAAAAATGAGCTTACTCACTTCCCTTGCTTGAGGCGTAAGAGGGTTGAAAAGTCTCAAGCGATTCTGAAACACTTGATGACCTTCAGAAGCAGCATCTCGACTGGTAAGCCTGAGCAATTATTGTCTTTGATGTGTTTCGTTTTTCTTCGGTTTCCTGAAGTCGAGCGTATGGTTTATGCGGCTTAAGTTTATACACGAGCAATGATCTAACCTACAACAGTATCAGGTGTAAAAAGCATTTAGATATTTTTTGACCGCAAATTCAAAGAAAAGGTTCCGAAGAATATTTAGTTATGATTTTGGCTATAAACAGAAAGCTCTGAGCGATTTTCTTGCCTCGGGAAGCCGGCTTAAAACATAAATAAGCTTATGCTTACCTGACTCAAGATTTTCAGAGACACTTTAGTTTACTCTCAGTACTTCTCTTCGTGAAGGAAAATTATTGTTTCTGTACATGTTTTACCGAATTATATTTATTTTATTGATTGTTAGTAGTCCCTCTCGCAATTTTTATCACTGCATCGGTTGTTTCCAGTCGAACGTAAACAACGCATGCAGGAATACTCAAAACGCCGCGCGTAAATACATGTATCACTCGCTTTTAAAGATTACACACAACAAAACCATAAACAGTTTTATAAATAAAGAGAAATAAAACCTAAACATATCAGATTCTCTATCATGTTGAAGCGTAAATGGTAACTCTATTAATCGCACTGCAAATTTGGTGCCTGTCAAAAGTGAGTCCGGCTGGCCGAAAAGGTGATTTTGGAAATTTTTTTATCGTTTTCACTAAAAGCCCATAATTATTACCCTACATATCACATAGGACCAGAGTTTTCTAACTGAAAAGTCCAGGCATTATGGAATTCTCTTCATGAAAACATTTTATAATGTGGTCAATGCTATAATTTGTTGTGCAACGGAAGCGCGTGCTTTGATCGTCCTAGATAATGAATGAGTGCAATTTGTCTTGCAAAATTGAGAAAAACTGCAGAATTATAGGTTTAAATAGGGCAAAAAAGAACAAATTCTGTCCGCGGTCTGTATGATAAAAAATGGCCTCATAGTATGTTTACCTGAGACGTGATGAGAAAAAGTATGTTTAAAAGGCTGGTTTACACGCCGCCAGATTCGTCGCCAAGATATACTTTTAAGGTAAAGTTGTCGAACACTAAATATCCGGTCTGATTTTTTATTTTGGCCTCCCTTTTAGACAGAGGAAAGCAACGCGTAAATTGGCGGCCACCAAGGGCTATCGTGGCGCGTGTGTTTCTTAAAATTATATTTCGGGGTTGCCAATTATCCATAGTCTCTCAAACGGAGCAATGTTGGAGAGACTGGTGAATGCCACATTGTGATGCAACAGTTAATGCAAATACAATACACGAATAGGCCTAATATACTGTGACCGAACATGATTGCTATTTTTGGGTGTTCAAATAAGGCTGACTATTAACTCGATGTAAAATTTGTTTCACTCTTGGACTGTCAAATTATTTTTCTCTAAAATCACTTAGCCTTTGCTTCAAAAGTCATGAATGTGCCCTGATCTGTGGATTAAATGTTTATTGTTTGATTTAAATTATGAATTTATTAACGGGTGCTTCGCTTTTAGCCCTGGCTAAATCTATATATTATTTTTTATTGAAGTCTTGTTATTTTTTTTTATAGTTTTACAAATATACTGATTTTTTTTTTATAGTTTTACAAATATTTTTTTTATTCGTACCACGGATTATTTTAAATGTTACTGCGAACTGTTTTACTTTTGGCTGACAAGAATTATACTTTCATTGGGCTGAGAATTATTTTTTGCGGTGCGGCGTATTTATTTTTTGGCCTACAATACATTGACTAGAATGCCTTTACGACATTTATCGGCAATAATTCTTGATTTTTAACATTATGTTTGTTATTCGGAGATGGATGAGTCCCGTCAAATGGCAGATCCGTGAGATAGCCAATAATGCCATAACAGAGATGAATCAATCATTGTCATGATTTTGACCAGAACTGGCCTCCAAAGAGCGCCAAATTTTCACTGCTAGATCTAAAGATTGAAATTCTCAGACGGTTTCTTCATTCGAAGTAACGAATGTTATTCACTGACACACCGTAAAGCAAAGACAAAGGTTACCGACTGCTGTTGGCTTCACTCTTTCGAGTTTTAGATCAGGGCTGGGTAGTTCGAAAAGTAGACAACACTATTCACTGGATAAATCTCTATCCAGTGGATAGAGTAATTTCTGATGGTTAGTGATTTATCCTGTGGATAGCACTATCCAACGTTTGAACAACCCGGGCCTGCAGAACGTTTAAAACTATTGGCGATTAATATTTTATTTTGACCTTGCAACTACCCGTGAAGTGAATCTTTACAAGACAAAATGCCAGTATGCTTCAGATGAATCCACCCTCTGTTAATCTAGTTAATACAAAGCTAACTAGTGAAATATTTTGGAACTTTGTCACCCCCTCTCCTCTGCTACACGTTCGAGCTACACAATTACGAGAAGCAGGTTCAGGCAAGCAGAAACCGGTATTGAGTAAGAAAAATCTCTCATAGGGCACCTTTGGGCATGGTTCTTTGCGGAGTTGCAAGTTCGAATTTGCCATTGATTATTAATTTTCTAACGACTATGGTGATAAATATATTGATGAAAAAAAAAAACGTATCTATAAATAATGGCGATAACTACTGTAAGTATGTTAAGATAAGAATTGTTTGATGCGTGAACAGACGATAAATGTTTCTATTAAACGGCGCGTTATCGGCAATTATCGATTAGTCTTAAGACGTAGGGCTCGACATTTTCCCTTTTCCAAGTAGATAAGTGCTGGGGCTAAAGGCGTAAGTATCTATCAGATGAAGCTAGTGATCATGAATGCTGTTATTTAAGGTACCTTCATGAAACATCAAGTTTGTAATTGCCGCTCCCTTGCCATAACAAGTTGGTATCGGCCCATGCAAGGGAATTTGGATTCCAGAATCCAGGAAAATGTTCCCTGCGAAATCCGGAATCTCGGAAATGTTTGCTTGTGGAATCTTTAGTCGAATTCTGAATCAAGCTCAAAGAATCCGGAATCCCACTAACAATTGGAATCCGGAATCCCAATTCCACTAACAAAGAATCCAGAATCCAGTATCTGGAATCTGGAATCTGGGGCGTGGAATCCAGAATCCAAGACTGCCTTGGATTCCTTTATATGGGCCGATTGGTAAGTTAAAAGGTCTATAAGATAGATCACTGATCAATGAGATCAGAATTAACCTTTACAAAAGTCAAACAACATGAATCTTTTAGTAGCCTCATTTTTTTTGAAAACTACTTAATTAACGCTGGCATGTCAGCGCAGTTATGTGGATGGATGAGTATTTATGTGTCTTCCTCGGGTACATGATCCATTTTACTTAAAATTCTTCCTTTTCTATTCACAGGCACATCAAAGCTATCAAACCCTTCCACTTCGCCACTCTTTAAAACTAAAATCTTGTCGCAGTCTCTTATTGTGTTCAAACGATGCGCAACAGTGATAACCGTGGAATTTTTCAATTTCTCATGTACTATATTCCAGATCGTTTGCTCTGTGTCCGGATCCACGTGTGCAGTTGGCTCATCCAAAATGACGATTTTCTTTTGCTGCAACAGCACTCGAGCCAAGCAGATAAGTTGTCTTTCTCCAACACTAAAGTTTGCCCCATGCTCCAATAATTCATGATCCAATTGACCTGGCAAATTCTCTACAAGACTTTTCAGCTGCACCTGTTCTAAAGCTCGCCATAGTTCCGCGTCTTCAAATTTCTCCATCAGATCAAGATTTTGCCTCACCGTTCCACTAAAAAGGGCAGGATTTTGTCCAAGAACGGTTATTGCTCGTCGAGATTCTCTGAGGGTGATGTCTTTTACATTGACATTGTCAATAAATACATCTCCATCAGGTTCAGGCATGCGCATTAGTGCCGCCACGAAGGAAGATTTCCCTGCGCCCGTCCGACCCGCAATCCCGATCTTAGTTCCACCATTGATGTTAAGTGTGATATTCTTTAAACTTTGAGGACCACCAGGATAGTACGTCAGGCATACGTCTTTAAGCGCGATATTGCTCTCACGTGGCCAGATTTTCGGAGGTTTTCGTTCCACTTTGTATCCAGGTTCAGGTTCAAGCTCGGTGTACGTCATTACTCGCTCAACTGATGTCATCAGAGTTTCGACTTCAACTGATTTCTTAATTGCATATTGAGTCCAAACCATATTTTGAACTACATAAACCAATGCCAGGCCGGTAAAAGCTAAAAGAAAACGAGGTGAATACGTTTATTAAGCTATGGTTCATCAAGCATAAATAAAATTTTCAAATTTTAAAATCAAAACCAATTGAATAGTAACAGTTCCTAGCTCACAAACCAATCAATTTTGCTTCTTTAACTGATAGTTTCATTGCATCATTTTCAGAATTATTGAAACTTTGAACTTGAATGCAAACGCAGCCAAGATAAAACACCTTTCCGGGCCCGAAAATCTGTCGGGACTTTCGAGAAACGCGCCCCTGGTCGGAAATGCTACAATGTTCAGGACAAGTAAGAATCTTTTGCCCAGTTGTTGCCTAGAACGTCTGCCTGGCGTTCCAAAGAAGCATTCCGGAGAACTTATCCCTAAGAGGGCTAAGGTGAGGCTGGGGGTGGGTGCAATCTCCTCCTTTTTAGCAAGAGGATTTTTCTGGGCACCTGTCCCTCGCTACCCTGGGTGCCAGGAGTTTTCTTCCTGATACAAGCACTATGTGGCGAACCGGGAAAGCGAGGTGCGAAGCTTTATCACACCCCTAGTGCGGTTAGTTTTACTCTAGTAATCCTGACCGCTGAATACAAGAAATTGTCTATTTCTAGCTACCTAAAATTGCCATATATCAAATTTCACTAAGGGTACCTAAGGAAATAGTTGCATTTCAAGAAAAGAATTTCGACCCACATTTATCACTCAGTAGCTACCGAGCGCTATTTTATCAGACGAAGCTTTTTCGTAAGCATTGAAGCAGTGAAAAGAAAACTTGACCTGTTAGTTCCATCAGGCAATCATAAACAAATTAGCTTTGAAAAACCAGCAGTTGTATTTTATTGTGTAGAAGCAGTAGTAGAACACGATAATTTTATAACTTAACACAAATGACAGAAGGCTCCATCGTCAGCATAGTCTTTCTATGTCGGTAACAAATTTTAAGATTTGTACAAGAAGTAAAAGCCTTACTAGGCATGCATGGCCAGCTATTCGGAACCTCGCCCGCCGCGACGCATCACTGATCATGCAGTCACACGCCCTCAGTTTACTAATAGGAAAATGTATGGCAATTATTGTTCAATCGATCCCTGAGAAAAATCCGGTAGTGGAATTTCACGGTGCTCGCTCTAAGTTTGTTAGTTGTGACAAAAGGTTTAAATTGAATAGGGTTTTGGAGCTGCGCGAATTGTAATCTGTGCGGTTTTCAGTCTCAAAAATCTTAAATAGGAGTAAAAGAATCCGCCATACTGACCCTTTATTTCATGGAAATCCCTGATCTTTTCTGCACGGTCCTCGGTCGGAAATTGAAGACCAAATGCAGTACTTTCAATCCTCTTAATTTCTGGCTCTTTACAAATTAAATCCTTTGCGGTTTTTGCTTTCAAAGACACTCAAACTCCCCGGAAATTATAATCATCTTTGACTAAATACCTTTCAAAGACGCTTCTGTTGAACAGTTGCTAAATGCGAGCCGTCTCCTTTACCAAATCCGTTTTTGTTTACATCGATTTTGACGCCATTTTGGTGTTTCCCAGGCTCTTTTCAGCCTTCTTTGAAGTTAAAAGCCTGGGAATAACTCTTTATTTTTTTTCTGTGTTTTACTGTGTGATCCATTGATCTTGATTTTAGAGCCGATTGAAACAGCTTCTCAAAGCCGGTAAGTCTCTAAAATTGACACCGGGTGAGCAGAATAGCATCTAAAGAGCTTTATAACCGGATTTTCAAGGAAGATATGAGAAATAGTGGCTTATATAAGCGATTCAATGTGTCCATTTCGGCAGCCAAATGTTTCTGTCAATGACACTCTTGACGTGACATCCTTAAGAAAGAGAAACAGGCCAACCAATTATTACCGAGTGGAATATGATGACATACGTCAACTTCTGCTCCGCCCCTTGTGGTTCCAAATAGCTGGCCCTGCGATTCATGTGTTCTAAGAAATTTAAGAGCTCATATAAACATGGATTAATTTGCTGATTACATATTCAAGTATAATTACCAGCATCCTGTGATACAATAACTGAGGCAAGAGCCGTTGCAGCAGTCAAAAGAGCGGAGAGACAATCCAAGCGAACACCAAGCCAGCGCTGGCTGGCAAAAACCATAATGTATGACTTAGTATGAAGATCTTGATATCTAAAAGGAACAATAATAATGCACGATTTAGTTTTGTAACTTCGTTTTCGCTTTCAAGTCTTTCACATTCGAACATTCTTTGAGAAAAGAATCTTTTTGATTAAAACGCCTTGTCATATGATAAAAGAAGAATGTAAAAAGACGTCATAATCTGGAGAGCGAGCTTGTCCAAATCCCAGGTGAACGTCCCAGAGTAACGTTACCAAAACAGCCTAGTTAAGATGACTGAGACCTAATGGTAGCAACAACGGGTAATCACCCGATGAAACCACACGGCGATCGTGTTACAAATCGACTACCTACCTGACTACTTAGACTTTCAATAACAAGTCTACCTGACTACCCAATTGACTGACTAATTAATCGAGGAGTTACTCATTTCAAACTTGAGCTGTTCAGAATACAAATATCAAAATTATTCAACAACAAAGACAAAAAAATGAGTAAAGTACCTGCAAAATTCATCCAGGAAATCTTTTTCTTTTTTTCTCGTCCGAATTGTGTCCAGTCCATCCAGTGTCTCTGAAAAGTGAGAAAAGACTGGACTACGACTAACTGACTCCAGCCTTTGCAGCTCCCTTGACGTCTTTAAGTAATATCTTGAAATAACTCCCGCTAACACAACTATTGGCGTGAGAGCAAACAGAAGCCAAGGGTTTATGACAGTTGGTACAAGTATTGAGGTGAACATCAGCAAGGTCCTTTGGATTGCTCTCAGAAACGTTTTGGGTAGTACATCATCCATGCAACTTATATCTTTAGAGAACCGATTCATAATTCTTCCCACGGGATTTGAATCGAAGAATACGACTGGTGCCTGTAGAACAGCCGTAACCATTTTATCATGAAGACGTTCAGAGCATCGTAAAGATACCAGATAGAAGCTAAATGCTCGAATGATGAGAAATATGAATGATGCCCCAACAAGAGAGCCATAGATGATAAGGTTTGTCTCCTTCTTTTGATCCTTGGGGTGTGTCTTTGTCAAAAGCGACAGCCACACATCGCAGGAAACAAGCATTGCTAAAGGAAATATAAGAAAAATAATGGTCAGAAACGAATGGAGTAATACTTCTGGAGGCTTGTTTGCTGCGCTCTACGCTCCGCGCCTCAGCCATGTTACACCATTGATATATGAGCTACATTGGCGTCCGTTAAAGCAGCGCATTCATTTTAAGATTTTATTATTTGCATTCAAGGCTATCCATGGTATAGCTCCTACATACATTCAGAACTTAGTTTCTTTGAAATCGCAACGCGCATAAAACCCCAAATCGTCAGGTGGGATTTTACTAGCATTGTCATTATTTAGAACTTAGGTTACACTAGGCGATAGGTCCTTCCAGGTGGCTGCGCCCAAGTTATGGATGCTCTACTTCGTGATCTTCGCGATATTACAAACTTGAATACTTTTAAGAGCAATTTTAAGCCGTACCTTTTTAAGTTTACTTATGGTTGAATGGATTTAATTGTTACAAATCGATATTTTAGATTTTAATTTTATTTTGGAAGTGTATATATTCTTATTGTTTTGCTTATTGTAAATAGGTTTGTAGGTTTTTTTTTTCATGCTTTTATTACTAATGCAATGCGCATCTGATCATTTTTATGCCATTACCTGCGCAATATAAGTAATTAAATTATTATTAAATTATTATTATTGTTGTTAGTCATACATTTTTGGGTGTCTATGAAGAAGATTGGCATTAATTTGTGACCTTGAAACAAAGATGGTGTGTTGTGGCTTGCTATATGCTGGTTGTTTTCGTGTCGTTTCTAATCCTAAATTAAGTTCAATGTTTGAATAGAGTCTCAGTTTTTTTTATTGTTTTTCTTAACTTACAAAAAAGGCTAGAAAAGACCTGTGTCTGTTTTACCAGCATTCTCTAAATTCTAGAGAGGGTAATGTACAATGGTCTGTTAAGGTTTTTTAATAATCATAACATTCTCTCTGTCAATTAGCACTGTTTTCGTAAGCATCAGTCCACTGCTTATGCTCCTGCTTGTTTATATGACGAAATCTCTGCCGCTATTGAAAATAAGGAATACATAACATTTTGACTTGAAAACTAGAGCATTATGGTGTTCGAGGCACTGCACTTAATAGATAGTTAAAAAGCTACCTAAGCAATAGACAACAATATTTGGAATTTATTGGTATCAGTTCAGAAGCTTGCAAAATAAAGTGCAGGGTGCCTTAGGGCTCTATACTAGGCACCCTGCTGTTTCTGCTCTTTATAAATGATCTGTGCACTGGTTCAAAGGTGGTGTTCAGAAATAATCAGATATTAAAGACGCAATCCAGTGTTTTGTTAAATGGCCATATATCCCTTAATTTTTCAGTAATTTGGCACCAGTTACGAACATTAATTCTGTTTTCCAAGAGTTTCTACAAAGTGCGAATTAATTAAATTATTCTCTCCCCGGGATAAAAAATGTGTGGTGGTAAGGTTCAGTTTTTATTTTCTTCTGGCACATTACCTTGACTTATTAAACATAAGCAAATTCCTGCGATGATTACCAGCAAAGGAACTCCGCTTCTAAAGTAGTTCCAGTAAAGTCCTGATGACACCACTCCAATGGCGCGATCTTCTTGTGATAAGCGGAGACCCTGCACTTCTTTCGGTACGGCTGTATCACTCATGTAAGAAATTTCTTCTTCGTCTTTAGCGTCCTCACCAACGCTAATATCCGATTTGTTTGCCTTTTCGTAAATTGGATCGACAGTTTTATTCAGGCTACCACATTCATTTAGCTCAGTGAAATTTCCCTGGCTCAATACTCGACCTTTAAATAATGCAATTACGTTGTCGGCGTCACGCATGATTCGTTCTTGATGAGAAATTATTAACCGAGTTTTCTTTCCAAGCAAGCCTTTGATGCATTCCCTAAAAATGTGATCGGCAACTTTAGAGTCCACAGCACTTAAGGGATCATCCAACAAGTAAAGCTCTCCTTCGGCGTAAACTGCCCGTGCTAAGCTTACTCTTGCCCGCTGGCCACCACTAAGCACCACGCCACGCTCTCCAACCATAGTTTGGTCACAGTCTGGAAACTTTTCGATGTCTTGAGTCAAAGCACATGCTTCAATGACTCTGTTGTACTTGTCCTCCTCGTACTGTTCGCCAAACAAAATGTTTTCTTTAATTGTTCCAGAGAATATCCAAGCAATCTGCGGCACATAAACAACAGTTCCTTTGAAGGTTATAGCCCCGTTTTGGTCTGGTACTTCCCCAGCAATTGCTGACAGAAGAGTAGATTTGCCACTGCCCACTGGTCCGGTTATGACTGTTAAACTCCCTTTTTCAGCGGTGAAATCAATAAATTGCAAAGACGATCCTTCTGATTCATTTTGTTGCTGTTGCTGATTGAAATTTCTGACCCGTAAAATAATTTCTTGCTGACTTTCTTTCGAGTTGTTAGAAAAACAAGATCCTTCTGATCCCTCTGGCGGATTTATCGTGGTTTTCGTTGAATCAAGATTGTTTAAAAGAAGAAAGTCTTGTATTCTGCTCAGTGATACATAAGCGTCGTAGGTTTGGATGGAGGCATAGGAAAAGTTCATACAGAAGCTCCCACTCAAAACATTGATAAAAGAGAGGAACGTGAAGACGTTAACTGGTGTCACAGGCTGACCAGTTAATATAAGAGTGATGACAGTCACCAGGGTTGCCATTGGTGTTGAAATGTATTCGAGAGCAGCAATGCTAGACATGAAAGCACTCTTCTTAGTGGTCAAGTCGATTTCATCACTATAAATAAAACACAAGGAATTTTTCAGTAATGTTAAAGAGCTTCAAAGGCTATATTCCAGGGGCACCCAACGAGGATATAGTTCAAAACCACTTAACATAGCATTGTTGAACGTATTTTAGTATTCAAACGGTAGGTATAGGCATATTTTTATCCCCTGAAAACTTTTCATCTGTTCGGATTTCCTAGCTGAAAATCTAGTGATCCGAAAATTATAGGGATAAAAACTTACCTTCTCGAAAATTTCAGCCAGGAGAAGGCTCCCGAAAATTCTAGGTGGCCTTTTTTAGGGTAAAAATCCGTTAAAAATGAGTAATTATACCATTTTGTAGATGTTCGAAAATCCTAGGAGAGGCAGGCAAGCAAGAAATTTTACAACAAATGCTCCGAAAACTCTAGATCTCAAATCGTTTTCCGAACAGATATTTTCCCGAAAATTGCCGTTGGGTGCCCCTGATATTCTTGTTAAAAGATACAATGGTTTAGGGCGCTTTCATATGATACTTATATGAACTTGGAAATAAAATCACTTCATTTGATATTGACTGTCTTCATATTTACTGCTATCAGGGATGATAGCAGTAAATATCAAGCTAAATAGCACGATATCTTTGACAAGGAATTTACCCTTCGATTTTTCTAAGAACTATTGGTGATTATTATTGGTTATTTAGGCGGTAGATCTCACTTTCTATGGGTTTTACAGCCGTGATAACCCACGGCTGCCCCTCCTTTTTTCAACCCAATTTTCAACCTTGTCACTTGTGAGCGTAAACATCAACGATCCAAAACACGATGGTATTTGTCTCTCTCACTCAACTCAAGAGCACTTTAAGTGTTCTTGGAGCTGAGCTGCGATCTTTTGAAGTTTTGAAACTTCGCCTCTCTTTTTAAGCAAGCAGAAACTGCCATAGCCAGGTCGGTTAGATCTGAGACGAGCTAGGAATGAGCTAAATAAACCAAACTTAAATTTCTGTTCCATTTTCCTGAAATTAAGGTTATTAAATTTTATATCTAGGTTTCTTTTTATCAACTGCGTCTTCAAACCAGGAGAAGTGTGAGTTTAAAATCAATTGCTTGAATGTGGAAATAACCAAAAAAATTCTTGCTTGCTCAGCACATTTATTGTATTTATGCAATGTTAAAGTTTTCCTTACCTTCGCACGCTCTTTATCTTTTCTCTATATTCATCTTCCCATGCATTTGTTTTGATAACACGGATTCCAGAAACAACCTGGCCGATCATCGTGATACGGCGATCAGAAACTGCGGCTGTACGTAGGCGTAGTAAAGCCCCAGCATAGGCGAAAAAAAGGTAACATGGCAGAACAATACACAGTAAAAAAATTCCCATTAGAGCCTGCCATCCAACAAAACAGACCAGTAAAAAGGTTAATATTAAAAGCAGTATGATGCTTCGAGCTCCAGCAAAAAAATACACGAAAGTATCGCTCTCTATTCTCTGAACATCGTTTGATACGAGATCAATAACTCGGCCTGATGAAAGTCTTAGCAATGAATCCTTGCTGAGAAGAAGCGTCTGCAACAAGAAAATAAAGTTCGTAAGTTATCTTTTCAAAAATGTTATTACTTAAAGGAATAGCTTTGTCACTATTAACGTTGTCACACCGTATGGGGGTTGTCAATTACCGCAGACTGATAAAAAATTACATTTGCAATAACTCTACCTATTTATAGGCCATTTCCGAGTTCCCAAAACTCTCCCTGTCAAAACGAGGCCAAGCGCATATCGTTTCCTTTGAAAATTAGTTCTATTTGCATGAGAATATATTATTAAAATAAGTAATTTTCATATCCATGGCTCTGCACTTAGCCTTGCCTGTAAACAGATGCTTGTAAAACAAATAAACATCGTTTATTTCCATTCTTTGCAGTAAAATACAACTGAACAATTAATGAATGAGGCTGAGTATCTCATGAAGAATTATGGAGATCGGGGAGGGTGTTATCCATTAAGCGAGGCGGATAACACCCTCCGAGATCTCAATAATTCTTCATATGATACGAAAGCCGAATTTAATAATTGTTTTATTATTCATTCAAAACAATTCCTAGTTTAAAAACATAGCTAAAACAAGCTTACCTGCATCGATGTTAAGTTTATCTTCGATAGTTTACGTTAAGGTTTGTCCAGCTCCGCAAATTTTCTCCAAATAGTGGATGTCACCCTCCGAGTTGTCTTCTTGCTGTTTTTGCTCTGTTTTTAGCCATTATTTCGCCTAGTTCCAGCTGTAGTTCTTACTCTTGAAACGAGTGAGGTGTCCGCCATTTTAGTTTTTACAACGTAAACAACTCACTCTCGTCCCCATGTCTCCTCGGTTAACGGTGCATTAACCCGTAAAAGGCTGCATTTTTGACTTCATTTCCTCGTTAAACACAAAATTCTTCCAAATTTGGTTATCAGTAACTAGTTATGGTGAATTATGCGTGTACTTTTAGCCAATCAGAATTGAGGTAATATGTTGAACGAAAAATAAAAAAAAAAGTTATCGTCGTTATGAAACGAGTCTAAAAATTTAAAGGTAATAAAATCATTCTCTTTTTTGATTCTAATGTAAGGGCTTCATGGCCGGATCCAAGATCGTATGGTACACTAACAACTTCATGACGAGTGCGTAACCTCCATGCTGAAATGGACCTGCGACTTATAGAAATTCGTCTTTTCTCAAGACTCTCAAGGCCAGAGAAGGTCAGAGCTTCATCATAACCATAGTCTGGGAAAACAATCTTAAGGGCTCGTTTTTGTATAGATTCTAAATTGACAGATAAGTGCTCTGGAATATCCAGCCATAATATCTTGACGCAACTCGGAAATGGCCTATTTTCCCCTATACTACAAAGGACAATTTAGTACGGTAAGCTGGACTTGAGAGTCCCGTTTAGGTATGAACGTAATCATGCCCTCGATCATAGATTTGTAAACGTATTTGACATTGGCCAAGGACAACCTTGAGTGCTTTCTCGCTCAATCAATAGTCTTCTTCTGCGTATGTCTTTCGTCCTGTCAAGCGCCATTTTTGAACTTGTGCTTAGCAGTTAGTACAAAGCAGTGGATTGCCCCAGAACTGAAAAATTCGGTGTGCACAAAGGGACCCAGTGCCCTCTTGAGTGCTCGAGTAGCGTTGTACTCGGGCACAGGCACGGTGCACGAATTCTAGCCTAAGTTCTTAAGAAAGGGTGTGGAAAAAACATTAGTGCCAAGCGAGTACAAAACTCGGGCACTGTGCCGGGGCACCAGATGTGAACGCTGCCTTAGGCTCTATTTCGGCCCAGGTCAGTTGAGTTAGCTTAACCTGAGATCAGGCCCAACTTTAGCGGTTCTAATACATTCTCTCTAACGGCTACCGCTAAAATTGGGCCTGATACAAACTCTCTCACGTTTGTGCTCGTTACAGCCAGATTTTGGCCGTAACTCTGATTGGCTGTTAATTAGAACAATGCCACAAGATCTGATTGGCTGTTGGAAACGCCGGAAGTTGAAAGCGCTTATTCCTCGCGTGGTTGTTTTCGTGAATGATCCACCGTCGGCGGAGAGAAGGATCGATTTTGCTGTCTTTGGTCTTGTTTTATCGTCTTACGGTAGGAAAATATGCCTTAATATTTGCCATGGAAATTCAGGAAATTCATGTGGTTGTTCATATCTTGTCAGGATTTGCTTTATTTACGGAACTAATGTGAGTGCATCGCGAAGTTGAATCCCTCTGCAAGTTGTTGACCGCTAAGGGACCAAACATAATTTAAGTTGGAGGGGGTGGAGGAGAAATTGGGGACCTTCAATTTTTTTTGGATGGAATATGGGGGGCCTTAAAATGCCAAAAGATGACGTTGGGGGGTCTTCAAGTTTCATTTAAGTAGCATCCCTACTGAGCAGCATGATGTTTGAGTATTAAAGGACCTGATTTTGATTCAGTTTTACACAAAGACCTATATTGTGTAATACTAAAACAATTTAATCAGCATTTTGACAAAAAGATTTAATGCTCAAATAGTAGGTGCATCAACACAACATCCATTATTGTGTAACACTGAAACAATTTCATCGGCATTTTAACAAATGATTACATGCATAATGTCATGTTATGCAATCTCACTATCCGAATCAATATTTGTAGATGAGGTTGATGTGGACTCACTGTCTGTGTCACCGTCAAGTTTTTTGCTATTAGAGCATGTACTGCTCATATAAAAAGCAGTAAGCTTTGGCTGATTATCTTCTTTCTTCCTTGAAGCGGTCCTGTCGGCCTCTCACCTTTCGATGGCTTGTCTTATCTCAATTATAACACAATCACTGATATATCCTTGCTCTATAAGCTGTTTGAGAGGCTCTAGGTGAAATCTCTTTCTCAGTTTAGTGTGAAGTGCTTCTCTGTTGTTAGTTGGCACATTCGGAAGTGACAGTGAGTAAGAACGGTAAAGTAAAGAAAATGTTATTTGTTATTACCATTTGGGTATTATGTATAAGAAAGGGGGGCCCTTAAATCTTTTAACATGATTGAAGGGGGGTACCTAAAAAACATGAGTGCTATTAGTGGGGGTCTGGAAAAAATTTGGAATAAAAAACAATTTCTCCTCCACTCCCCCCTCCAACTTAAATTATGACTGGTCCCTAACAAGGTGCCTTTTGCAAATCAAAATACTGTCCATCTTAAAACTGGTTTCATTTGAAAGTTTAGCCGGGAATGACTTCTCTGAACGGCGTGCGAAAGTGGAGGCTCAGTGCGAAAGAAACCTCAATCGCCAACTGTGAAGTGTTTGACGAAAAATATCGTATCGCTGTTCAAGGAATTTTTGTCGGCATTATTATAAAAGTTGGTGGCGCGAGTCTTAAGGTAAAAGACTTGTTGTTTGCCTTGGCTTTTTGTAAAAAATAAACCAGGAAAACTGGTGTCCTCGCTCGTTGGCTGTTTGCTGTTCGTTAATTTCGATTAATAAATTTAGCGAGCTTTTTAGACTTGCAGTAAAACAACAACACAACTAAGGAGAACTACAAAGTGAGTTTGTAATATTGTTTTTCGTTTTGTTTAGAGGTCAGTTGAGCATGCAGTTAGTGGCAGATAATATTACCTTGATTTTTTTTTTTAAATATATTTTTTAGACGTTATTTGTTTCTCTAGTAAATTCCCAAATATTATTGCAAGTGTACGTGCGGGACTAAATGCACTTGAGAACTCGTTTGGTTTGTTCTGAAATAATTTATATATCCTTTAAATAAGTTCGCGATATATTTCTCCAAGATTTTTAAAGATTTATGTACTGAAAATCGGGGAAAATTGCCGAGGAAAATAAAGGCAACAGAAAAAGAGAAATTTCAGTATTTTAAATTCGAGCAAGCCTATTAGGGAACTTAAGATGGAGACGTTTTCGGGGCGACGGCAACTTCAACCGGACGTGACGTCATGATTTGTGCAATATTGCGCATGCTCTTGCTCACCACATTGCCGTCGTGATCCCGTCGACGACGTGAAACTGGTCTGTTTGGCGTTGTGGCGAGAACGTGAGTATTTAACTTTCATTTCAATCAGGTTTGTTGCGTTTAGCAACCAATATTTTGCAGATGATCGTTCTTAAATTGTCTTTGTTCTCTTTGAGTCACATTTCAAGCTCGATTTCCAAGCTCTGTTATCTAAACTTACATCTTGATAATGTTTCTTTGTTTCATGTCCCAGAGTCAAGATCCAATCTGATCCAATATGACAAACAGCAAACTGTAAGTGAGCTTTACATGGACAAAATTGTCCTACAAGCCAAATGAAAGTACTCAGACAAAAAGTATGAACTCCGATATTTTAATTGTGTGTTTTTAGCTCACTTTTTTCGTTAGAGTATCGTATATTTGTTTAGAATAGTAGGTAATACCACGTACTAACGTGGGAATACTGAAATAAAGTTGTTGTTGTTGCATGCAAGCAAATAAGCATTAATTCTCTCAATTCTTTATGTGAAGCCATATTTTCCTCTTCCGTAGTCTTCCAAGGCGCCGTCCTCCCGAGTTCACTGCGATCTTAATGTTCGAATTTTGGAGGGAAGCGACGGCTACCTCTGTTCCAGGCTTGCTCTGCCAGTCCGGTCGCCGTTGCCCCGAAAGCGTCTCTATCTTAAGTTTCCTCATAAAAATAGTACAACATCGTGTTGCAGTCTTTTTGAAAACTTTTTACCTTCTACGCCAACACAAATAACCTTCGAGATCTCCTTTAATCTCGCAAGAATTTAAATGTGATTGTGCTGACTGTATTATTTTCTGCTGAAAAAATTAAAAGATAAAAGCTATTTTTTAAGTCAGCCAGTCTGCATTTTTTCCACGCATGAAAAATTTGCATACTAGAAAAACAAGCAACGGAATTAATTTTGGTTGGCTGATTCGGCAAATGTCAATCAATCAAAAAAGTGGGCGGAAGACGTTTCTTAGAAGGTTTGTATCAGGCTCTGTTTTCGTTTCGCCTTGCCCGCCAGAATGTTATTACAAAGCGAAACGAAAATTGAGCCTGATCTCAGGTTAAGTTAACTGGACTGGCTAAAAGGTTTACGCCCACCTCCTCATCGGTGTGGACACATCTGGCCGTCTCTGACATTTTTGTTCATTACCTTCATATACACTAATCCTTTAAGGGCGCTGCTTATTTTGATACCCAACACCTCACAGTGGTAGTCAGCCTGGTGCGTGGCAACCGAAGAGATCACTCCATTTATCCCTAGTGCGATGGCACTGCCATAGAGAAGATAATTATGTAGCTCTGCTGTCATCAGGGATTTCACAAGATATCCAAGAAGCAGTGGCTGAAGAATATGACAAAGTGTCTCAACACTCATGGCTGAAACGAAGATCATTTTTTCCTTCGCAGTTAACATCTTCAACACGCTTTTCCAAAGTTTTGGTTTAACATCATGTATTTTACTATCAGCGATGTCTTCGGACCATTTTGCCTGGAGTTTCTTTGTCAAAAACCAAGAAGTGGTTTCTTCTTTAAGCGGTAAAAGATCATTTTCATCAACAGCTCGTTCACTCCCAGTCTTCATCAAAATGTTCATCCATTGATAAAAAAGAGAAGAAAAAAAGCTTATGTTTTCCGAGTGTGCAGAGCTGGCGATCTTTCTGTACTTCTTGTTTGCCATTTTTTGGTATCTAAGGAGGAAACGATCGGATTTAGATAAAAAGGTTGGGGGGAAGGATTAAACACGAGAGCCACTTGTCATTTCAGGACTGCGAGGGATCCTTGTGGTTTTTTTTTTCTGGAGCGTTGTTCAAATTCATGAAAAGCATAATGTCGATTATTTTTTTAAATATGGGGGTTTCCGTGGTTTTAATGCAAATATACGAGGGCAAAACAATAGACTTTTTGTTTCTTGTTATGTTTTGCCTCCCGGATCCATTCACGCTTTGCATGCAGTCAAAAGAAACAAAGCAATGTCTGACAAATTGCTTCCCTTAGCTATATACAAACCACAAAGAAACAGTCACTTTGCCTTGATAATGACCGATGATAACCGATATTTTCGGAACATCAGATCCAGCATAAGTCTTTAAATATTTTTCACTAATGTTTACTAAACCGCTTATCAAAGAAGTTATTTTATCAAACTGAAGAAAAAAATTCAGGCATTTAAAACTTTGGGCTTAAAACCCGTCAGCCAAAATCGATAGTCAGTCATCCCTAAAATCTGTCTCAGAAGGCCTAAAAACAATCGGTTAAAGGAAGGAATGGTGGATGATAGCTAATGAAGGAGGACTGCGAACAGTTGCACAGTCGACGGGGAAAGAATTCCCCACTGTCGGGTAACTCTTTTGAAAAGTGCATCACTTAAATCACCAACAATGGCCGGTAATCTCCTTCCTATATACACAGTGTAGTCAACTGAATCAATCATGGAGATCGAGCCATGCCATTAAATCCCCACCTAGAAAACCATTTGATTACAAGACTTTGATTGTAAAAAAAAAGTGATATGAACCAATAGCCTGACGCTATATGGCTAATCTAGATGCACTGATCGTTAATGGTTTTCACCGAATTCAGGCCGAACGGACACCGAATGACTAGCTTATCATGGTAAAGTTACACGTCTTCACAACGATTCTACAATACGGGTTAACACCACAATAAATGTACTTTTTCTTGTTTGATTTTTCAGATTTCAAAATTGATTGCCAAAAGGGTACACCTACCTTGCTCTCTTGCTAAATTTTGCCTTAGGGAAGCAAAAAATTGTCTGAACTGAAGAGACGGTTCAAACTTTAAGGGCATTTCTCATTTTGCATTTTTCTTATGACTCAGATCACCATATAGTGTGTTTTGTTGTTATCAATCAACAGAGCATAAACTTGTCTCTCACCGCATTCTAGTTTGTATAGGAATAAAATCAGTGAAGCATCAAGCTTAGAGTGCCTTGAGCAGCTCAAATAGGCTTTTAAAAACTGTGGAAGAGAAGTCAATTGGTTTCGGTGTTACCTCCAGCATCTAAAAAACATCAAACCTAGATACTGACTTAGGTAGAATGGTCCTTAAGTACGAAAGTGACTAGTTCGAGTCATTCCGTGACTAGAACAGTTATATTTACATTTTTTATGACTTCTCTGTTAACTTTATTATTTTGTTTAATTTATTCTCATTCATAACAGTACTTCAAAGAACGGTCGTTAAACAACAGCGTCTAAATTGCTCACGCATCGCTTCATCGCCGGCTGTGTCGGCGAATTTTTGCAATTGCTTGATTTCGATACAAAGCTAGGTAATTTCTTTTAAAATTAGTGTTACCTTTTATTCTAAAGGATATACAGAGTCATTTTTTCTCATTTCTACTTTACGTTTATTGCAAAAATGGTCACGCGATAAGCTTTTTCGTAGTGAGTGTTTATAGTTGCAATTTTGGTTTTCCTTCAAAGTATTTACCTTAATATTAAGAGTGAGTAGACAGATGCCATTCAGAATAACAACAAAAAAAATGGTTTGCAATCCACCTTAAGACGGAGAACGGTTGATTCAGCAAAAGAAAAACTCAAGGGTAAGTTTTTGAAAGGCATGATTTGTTTACGCGCTGGCAGATGACAGCATACATCAACTCGTCTACAGTAGTACCGATGACTGACTACCGAAGGCAATTGGAAATGTTTTCTCTTTTGATTGTTGGGAGGTTTGCTAAGCACTCAAGAAGCTAGAATTGCACTCGGCGTACTCTTACGCTTCTTTCGTGCTTAGCAACGTCCCGCGTGCATCCATAACTGAGAGTCTACAGTAGGGTTCTCAAATCCCGCTTTCCCGCCTTTTTTTCTGCTCAATCCCGCCATCCCGCCCTATTTTATGCCCGAATTCCGATCCCGTCCCATTTTTTTACGAGACTTTTTGCTTAATTATTGAAATAGACGTCATATAAGACTTACCCTCTAACTATTGTCAGTTTTGATGGTCATTTTTTCGTCCGCGCATCTGTACATGTTTACTTTGATATTTTTAAAAGTCCTGTATTTTTGGAGTTGGGTAGATTGATGTCTCACGATGATTTAACTGCTTTGCTGCTAGTTTCGGGCGATGAAGCCAATTCTGTCAATTGTTTACGTAGAGTGTAGGACATGGAAAATGTATATAAACACGCTGGTTGAAAAGACTGAGGAAATGGTCTTTTTTATGAAAACATAAGCCCGCTATTGAATCAAATAGCACAACCAAATGCGGGCACCCTTCCAAGCAGGAAGTTTGCTTCTCCATCCAAAGTGGCAATAATCAACTTTCGCAAGCTAGCGAGACCATTTTAGTCGCCGACCGTAGCGCGGGGCACAAAGTCCATTGATATTCCAGGTTATAATAGATCTAATACAGGGATAATGGGGTCGTTGAAAACAATTGATGATGGATAGCATTTGGACTGCAAGCAGTCTCCTATTTTTCTTTGCAAATTTACTGCACGAGAAACCCAAGCACGCGAGCCTCGATAAACGTCTGGTCCTAATCTCTTATTTGTAACATAACGTCGTGGTTTGCAACTAAGCGCTGGCTTAGATAAGAACTAGACGGACTTTAAGAGAAGAGGCGGACTGCAAGCAGTCTAGATAGCGGTAAACTCAGGTCGACTCACCTGACTGTTTCTTGTAAGACTTTCAAGGTCTTCACTTGCCTTGAAACAGGAGCTCTAAATTTTTCTTCCCGCGAAATGCATTCCCACTGGCGCCTTTTTCGTAATACAGAGCCACACAATTTATGATGTCTACCACATGGTCGTCATTATGCACTTCCATCAGTTCTGTTGTGGACATAGCGTGGTCAGACTTAACAAACGCGCAGTTCAAAGGATCGTCCAAGTCCGACAGGTCCGATCCGTCCGGGCAAAAGCAGAAAAGGTCAAATCCGTCAACAAACCAGGAATCAGTGCAGATCAATGCACGTGACTTCTAACCTAGTAAAACTGGAAAAGACGAACAATATACGAAAGTGATAATGAGCAAAATTTGACAGGCTTCACTTCTTTGACACTCATAGCTTGACTACAAAGCGGTATACACATTAAAGATCCATTTTTTTCAGTCAACGCTAATAAATTTTTAGTCAAAACAAAACTAAATTCCCGCATCCCGCTATTTTTCCCTTACTATTCTCGCATCCCATCCCCATAAAAATAGGAAATCCCGCTTTCGCTGGTTGTTAAAATTCTCGCATCCCGCTCCTGTTTTCAGCTCGCATTTCCAGTATCACCACGAAAAATAGCCACATCCTGCATCCCGCCAAACCTATTGTGGACCCTCATAACTCGATGGCTGCACGCTACACGTTTATCATTTCTTAATTAGCATCTTTTAATTGTTTACACAAACCATTACTTAAAAAAATCCGTCCGGCCTACATCTTGGGACTTATTTCTTTATCTTCATACACATTAATCCTTTAAGGGCGCTGCTTGTTCTGATTCCAAGCACCTCACAACGGTAGTCAAATTGGTGCATGCTAAGAGAACAGATCATTTCATTTATCCCAAATACGAAAGCAATTCCGTAGAAGCGATAATGAGATCTGCGACCATTAGGGATTTTATGAGGTAGCCTGCGTAGCAAACGTTTCGAATCGAGTTATTTCGCAAAACTTAGAGCGGTGCATTTTAAAAATGGTAATTGCCAAGGAGGAGGGGGTGTACAATTTTCATATGTAATTATTTTAGGGGGTAAAGTTTTGATACACCACACTTTTCTGAAAACCCCCGCCCACCCCTGGGACGTAATAAATGATCGGCCAACGTTCTGCTGATAAGCTAGCTTGATTCACTTGCTCGCTCAGGAAAACTTGCTTGTTTGTGGGCTAAGTCATACATTTACGGCTCCAAAAAAAATTGTGTCTGAAAATTGTGAATCGTTTCCAATCACAGAATCGCGAATGACGAACGCATGTCTGGCAAATCACCCAAGTGCTTACACACAGTTATACGCTTATAATTTCCGTTCGCACTTACCAACTGTCTTTCGGTCCATAATTTGGTTCAAACGTGAGATTTTCTCTTTCGTGGTCAGTGAGTTTTTTAAAAAATGAAAATTTTAATTTTGCTCTAATACTTTCAAAACAGCTGCTAGACAGAATGTCACCAAACACACACGTAACAGAATTAAGAGTATAGAAGTAGACTTAACAATACCACAAATGCAACTCAGGCGGTCTCTTCGGGCAATTTTCTGTTTATGTCATCCTAGCCATTTCTTACTTGCGGGCGTTTAGCATTGTTTAGGGCTGAAACGTCATCATTACCCAGCGATTCCTCGCTGTCCCCGTTTTAGCAAATGGAGATTTTTTTCTGGTATACTGACTGCATATTTAACTGTAAGTACCTTCCTTTATGTACGCTCGAGCTACTATTATATACCTCCTGGGGATTTTGCCTTATTCCCCCAAGCCTCGGAGACAAGTATGAATTTTGATATATCGAAAATGGCCTATTAACACGTGTTAAACAGCTAATAGCGAGGTAGCCTTAAGGGAAACCACTGGTCTTACAGGTAATGGGCTCCCTCAATTATACTAGCGAAATATTAACATAAGCATACAAGTCAAATCACTGGTAGGGCTACTTAACAGTATCAGCTAAGTAACATTCCTACGACACCTAATTGGTTAATTTGTGTTTCTACCTTTATTTCTTTCATTCTCAAATCAAATTTTAGGCCAAACAGGTTCTTGTATTGAGTGGGCCTAACTGGTAAATTTTAGCGTAAGAGGTTCGCAAAAAGGAAGTCCTTACTCGCGGTTTTTTACTGTACCCCGCCTAACAAATACTAGGAAGGTTATGAAAATAAACTGGTTCTCAAGAACTTTTTGCTATACGCGTATAATGAGATGAACTGGCTAGTGCAAAGTAAAGGTAACTAATGAAATATTTTGGTACTTTGTCTCTCCCTTCTGCTATATTACACGTTCGAGCTACGAACGAGAGGAATTAACTACAGATAGACACCAAAAGTATTAAGTAAAAAAAGAAAATCAATCTCTCATACTAGTTCATTTTAACTTTTCTTTTCAAAATTTCAAGACTAGATAGTAAGAAAAACAGTGACGATAATAAGAAACTTATCCATTTAGGGACTGGTCGTTATTTATCGCCGAGGGGGGGGGGGTTGGGGAGAGGGAGGATTTGGAGCTAAACAAGGTGAAATTTTGTCGATCCCCCCTCTGAATGTTACTTCATTGAAGTGACCCCCCCTAATAACATTTGATGACTTTCACGATTCCCTCCCATATCTCCATTTTCTAAGCAAATTTGAGTGGTCCCCCTCTGAATCCTTCCAAAGTTTTCGGTGATCCCCTCTTTTGGGTTCTCAGTTACGAACGATCCCCCTTTTTGTTCTCCTACAAGTCAAGTGATCCCACCCCAAAATCCTCCCCCCCCCCCGGCGATAAATAATGACCGGTCCCTTATAATAACTATTGAAGAATTGCACAGGAAATCCTTAAAATGATACAACAATAACAACAGCATAAGCTTTAATTGCATGACTATAATTATGTTACAATTTATAACAATAATAATGCAATGCAATGATTACTACAGTCAATCAAGTGACATCAGCATGATTTGATAACAAATTCGTACGTAAATCATTACCTAATGATGACGTTTTTACGCAGAAGATACAATACGTAATAAAGGATGTTTTGTAAATATTAATAATTAATGGGAATCGTCCTAATTCACTTCTACTTGCAACATTTGAAGCTTTATTGCTTATTTCTTGGTAACGCTTGCAAAATTTCAAGTGGTTTTTTCAGTTGGGGTATTGTCCCAAGCTTTAAAATCATGTTTTACATATAAACCCCAAATTTCGCTATTATATGATAATATTGGGGAAATCATCGCTTCAAATATTATGCAAGCAAGAGAAGGTTTTAATTCGCTACCTTTTAATATGCTACTTTTTAATCTGATACTGCAAGTATAAGCGTGGAGGACAGTTCTATGAGGTGGCCTTTATTATATTATCCATTTTACTCAACATTCCTCCTTTTCTATTCATTAACACATCAAAACTATCAAATCCATCGACTTGACTACTTCTTAAAACTAAAATCTTGTCGCAATCCCTTATTGTGTTCAAACGATGTGCTATAGTGATAACAGTGGAATCGTTCAGTTCTTCGCGCACTAGTTTCCATATCATTTGCTCTGTGTCTGGATCCACGTGTGCAGTGGGCTCATCCAAAATGACTATTTTCCTTTGCTGCAACAGCGCGCGAGCCAAGCAGATAAGTTGACGTTCTCCAATACTGAAGTTAGACCCTTGCTCCAACAATTCATGTTCCAACTGACCCTCCAAGTTCTCTACAAGATTTTTCAACTGCACCTGTTCGAGGGCTCGCCATAGTTCCGCGTCTTGAAACTCTTCCATCAGATCAAGATTTTGCCTCAATGATCCACTAAAGAGGGCCGGATTTTGCCCAAGAATGGTTATTGCTCGTCGAGATTCTTTAAGATTGATATCTCTTATACTGACATTATCAATCATTATATCTCCACCAGCTTCAGGCATGCGCATTAGTGCCGCCACGAGAGAAGATTTCCCTGCACCCGTCCTGCCAGCAATTCCGATCTTAGCTCCTCCATTGATGTTAAGTGTGATATTCTTTAGACTTTGAGGACCGCCAGGATAGTACGTCAGGCATACGTCTTTGAACGCAATTTTTCCCTCATTTGGCCAGATTTCCGGAGGATTTTGTTCCAGTTTGTAACCAGGTTCAGATTCAAGCTCAGCGTATGTAATTACTCGCTCAACTGATGTCATTAGAGTTTCGACCTCAACTGATTTCTTAATTGCGGACTGAGTCAGTACCACGCTCTGGACTACATAAACCAATGCCAGACCTGCAAAGGCTAAAAGAAAACGGAGGAGAATATACAGTCAAAATTTCGGGTATTTCGTCGTCGTATCCCAAAATGCGGTGCTAGGAACAATATTCTGATCAACCGTTAAGAAGAGAAAATAGTGACCCGAAGTTGCTTTTTTTTTGTTTTGTTTTGTTTTTCTTTTGCGAAAGTCTTCCTGGTGTTCAGGAAAGCAATCCTGGGAATCAATGTGATATTTTTGGCGGCTATATATTATTATATTATCTCCCGCATCTCACACTATCCTAATATATAGATTTAGCCTGGGCTAAAAGCAAGTCTCTCAATGATATTTATAGTTTGCTCAAACTAAATATAAAATCGTGTAATGCTAAGCAGCGAAGGCAACGAGAACGGTAAAAAAAAAAACAACATAGGTCTAATTAGCAAAACACAACTTTGCACGTGCAGCACACTTTGTGTGAACATTTCTTTGCCGTTGTTTTGCACAACTACAACGTAAAACGTCCTAAAATTAAACTTCCTGGTTGCACATTCTATGGAGGAAATGCCGTACATGTTCTTGTTCACTTTTTTCACACTGCCGCTCATTTTTTCCTTGGTGGCTGCTAGCATTTCTCATTTTCTCACCACCGCCACAAATTCATGTTGTTCTTCCAACAAAAAATGGCTCCTTATTTCTTGGTCTCGCTCTCCGTCGCTCTTTTTCTCGTTGAGCTTCGCTGCTGCCTGTCGCCTATTTTCTCTTTTTCTTTGTCGTTCTCTTTCTCTATATTCCAAATTTGTGGACATGACAATTAATCTAAGCTTAATACTTTAGACAACACGGACACAGAAACAGTTTCTGCCTTCCGTTCTCTTATTGACTCTTTAGTTGTCTCCGCTTCAGAAGACGCGGGTGGCTATGGGATTTCCCGCTAAAATAACCTCGAGTTACATTTGGTTTGTCATACCTGTTGATTGAGTTATTTTACATTGGTATGCCTGTGGTGGGGCGAACGGACGAATGTACGGTCATGTGATTACCAAAATTTGTCGGATGGTTAGATTACCACATTTTCTTAGGAATGGGGCAACGCTCGAGCGCGCGTGGAGCTCCGCTATTACTTATCCTATTTCACTCTCAACTTATATCATTGAAAATTAGTAGAAATATGACTAGGTAGCGCAAACATTTGCACAAGAAACAAAGACCAGTTTAGGTGAATTAGTGACTCTAAGAAAATGAACAATTCATGAAATAATCTGATTAGTTTCTAATTATGAGGGTATATTTACCGGCATCCTGAGACACAATAACCGCAGCAAGAGCGGCTGCACCAGTTAACAGTGCAGACAGACAATCCAAGCGTACACCAAGCCAACGCTGACTGGCAAAAACCATAATGTATGACTGGGTATGAATATCTTGAAACCTGAAAGGGACAACAATTATGTACCACTTGGCAATTTCACTTAGATTTCTCTCATATCGTTTACATTAAAGCAATTTTATCAAAATAGATTTCAGAGACGTCCTAATAAAAAGGCTAGCTCAAAGTTGAAGTGACCGTCCCAGCCGAGAACAGCTTAGTTTATTGGAACGGGTCATTAAGATCTTTTCATTTTTTGTGCTTTCCTATTTTATTTAACTGAGCTTATTACCTTCAAAGGTCTAGAGTCTCAAAATATTTATCTAGACCTTGCTGACTACTATTTCGCACAAACAAGGATGTCTTCAAACCCGCCGATTACACCTAGTTAGTTGTTGTTACTAACTGTTTCTCTCCTAAAACTCAGTTCAGCATATACAACCTACTGGCCAGGAAATCATCTTTCGCAGTGACGACATGCACCCTCTTTATGGTCCTTGTATGCTCCCAGCTTAGAACAAGCACTTTACCAGCGAATCGTGGCTCGATTATCACCATTTTTTCTTACTTTTCATCTGAGCTGCTTAATCTTTAATGCAATTACAAAATCCGGGCTAGGAAGTTGGTTTCAAAGACTGGAAACTCTGTGAATAACAGGAAGACCTCCTCCAAATCTGTCACCTGTCTACTGTGTCAAGCCAGCTGTCATTTGCCATGTCATTCGAAGACTTCATTATCTTCATTATTAAGGGTTTGTTATTCCATAGTCTTACTTAACTCTTAGCTTAGTACGTAATCCTAATTTGGGTATTTTTATGCCCAAATGCGTGCACCGTACTATTATGTCTTTTTTCTGGCGTGTATCACAAGTGCCACTTCGCTCCATGTTAGTCTGGACATTAATCCGACAGGAGAAACCCCGTCAGAAATATATTCTTAACCAGTTACTTTACTACTCAACTGACAGCGATTTCTTCGCTTTTCAGGGATTCATTTTTAATTCAACATCGAATCTCATTTTTCTGTTCCTGCAGATTAGATATTAAAAGTACTTAACAATGATAAAACTGTATCAAGTGGTAAAGACCTGCAAAACTTATCCATGAATTCTCCTTCCTTTTTTCTTGTCCGAATTGTGTCCAGTCCATCCAAAGTCTCCGAAAAGTGAGAAAAGACGGGACTGCGACTAACTGACTCCATCCTTTGCAGCTCCCTAGATGTCTTTAAGTAATATCTTGAAATTAGTCCTGCCAACAAAGCTATTGGCACAACAGCAAACAGAATCCAAGGGTTTATGACCGTTGGCAGAAGAATGGAGCTGAACATAAGCAAGGTCCTTTGGATTGCTCTCAGAAAGGTTTTGGGTAGTACTTCATCCATGCAGCCTATATCTTTAGAGAAACGATTCATAATTCTTCCAATGGGATTTGAATCAAAGAAAAAGACCGGTGCTTGTAAAACAGCCGCAACCATTTTATTATGAAGACATTCAGAGCATCGTAACGAAACTAAATAGAAGCCAAATGCTCGAAAGACAAGAAATGTGAAAGATACCAGGACGAGAGAGCCATAGATGTAAAGGTTTCTCTGACATTTTTGATCCTCTGGATTCTTCTTTACCAAAAGCGAAAGCCACACATCGCAGGCAACTAGCATCGCTGAAAGTAATATATATAAAAAAAGAATGGTCAGAAATGACTGTGGTCACACAAATCTAGGTGTCTGCCCAGGAGATCGCCGCTAAATTGTGACTTTGAATCTAAGATAGTGTGTTGTTACTTATTTTATGCTGGCTGTTATGAAATCTCCGTCACCTAAAAGGAAAAGGCCCCTTTGTGTGATTTAAGCAATGCCAATTTTCTTAATAATATTTGACTTTTTCTTGTAAGAAAGAGCACCCTTGCAGATCTTAAATTGGTGGTAATAATAAGCATAACATATTGTTATATAAATCAAAGTGTCTTGAATATTGAGGCTCCAATTCACACTCGGTCCCTTTCGTTCTTATTTTTGGGCCCTAAGTTTGCTACTTTGTGCTTTCAAGAGTTCACAACATTGTTACTCCCAGATGAAGTTAGACATAACTGTTCATCATTTTTTTTAAACTTTTAATAAGGCCTTTAAAGATCTGTCAGACTTTGACAGCCCTACACTTTCTTTTCACTTTCGCCCATATCCTTGTTACTTATAATTCATTATTCATTCTTCGTAATAGCCAAAGGTCTTATAAAGAACACTTTACTCTTTTGAGAGAGTACCTCTACTTATAACTGCCTTGCTTTGCTCAGTACAACAAGTGCCTATTCTAGAAATAAACATTAGCTCCCTTTACCTAAAATGCGATTAAAATACTAATTGGTTCATTGACTATGTAGGTGGTAGTTAATCCGATATTCTCAGCATAGCTATATATATTATCCTTTAACCTGTAAGAACTGTCCGATTAAGGGTTAATTTGGATAGTTTCAAATTGGGCTTTGCTTTAAAAATAGGCAAATTGTCCAATATCAAAAAGGAATTTTTGTCTGTCACAAAAAATACAACAGGAAATGCAAACTATCCGGTCAGCGCAAAGTTCCTTTGACAAACTATCCTGGAAAATGCGCAAGAATTGAGAGTTTGGACAAGAAAAAGATAACCCTGAGATTTGTGTTTAGATGTTGGTCGTTGTTCAAAACCAAAGTTTATAGTATATGTTCAGTTCCCAGTTGCTAAGAAAGTCTACGGGCATCAAAAAATAACGAGGACAAGCACCTTTTAAAGAATAGGAACTTTTAACAAGTATTTCATTTCCGCGGTTTGAATATTTCAAAACAGTTTGGAAAACAAACGTTTTAAGTTTTAAGTTTGTGGTGCAAAAATGGCGGAAAACGTATGAGGTGAATGATGCACAAAATGTATATTTTCAACATTTATTTTCAGTATTTGTTTTCCATTCCGCCCAACAAATTGAACTACTAATATTAGTACTTATTTTTCCATACGTGGTCACCCAATGTGTCAGAGTTACATATTCTTTATTTGACAGGTTACGTTTCTCCTCTGTGGTCTTAAGGTCCAGTTCTTGATTTATTAAGTCCTTACCTTGACTGATTAAACAAAAGCAAATTCCTGCGATGATTACCGGCAAAGTTGCGCCGGTTCTAAAGTAGCTCCAATAAAGCTTTGATGACACCACCCCGATGGCGCGATCTTCTTCTGATAAGTGGAGACCCTGAACTTCGTGTGGTTCATTTGCACCACTCGTGTTAGAAATGTCTTTTTCTTCATTTTCTTTCTTACCAACACTGTTATCCGATTCGCTTGCCTTCTCGTACATTGAATCTATAGTTGTATTCAGGATACCACTTTCTTTTAGCTCAGTAAAACTTCCCTGGCCCAGTATTGCGCCTTTATATAACACAATTACGTTTTTGGCTTCTCGCATGACCCGTTCTTCATGAGTCGTTATTAATCGGGTTTTCTGTCCAAGTAAGCCGTTGATGCAATCCCTACAGATGTGTTGAGCAACTTCAAAGTCCAAAGCACTTAAAGGATCATCCAGCAAGTAAAGGTCTGCTTCCGCATAGACTGCGCGTGCTAAGCTTACTCTTGCCCGCTGGCCTCCACTTAGAACCGCACCACGTTCTCCAACGATAGTTTGATCAGAGTCTGGAAACTTCTGCATGTCTTCTATCAGAGCACATGCTTTCACAACTCCGTTGTACTTGGATTCCTTGTACTGTTCACCAAACAAAATGTTTTCTCTTATAGTCCCAGAGAATATCCAAGCAATCTGTGGCGCATAAACGACACTTCCGTTGTAGGTTATTGCCCAGTTCTCGTCTGACACCTCGCCAGCAACTGCTGACAGAAGAGTAGATTTGCCACTGCCCACTGGTCCGGTTATGACTGTTAAACTTCCTTTTTCGGCAGTGAAATAGACGTCTTGCAGAAAGGATTCATCTTCTGGAGAATTTTGCTGATGCTGGTGATTGAAATGTCTGACTTGTAAAATAGCTGCTTGCTGACTTTCAATTGGCTTCTCCGAATTAAACTTTTCTTTCGTTTCTTGTGGTAGATTTATTGTGATTTTCGTTGAATCAAGATTGTTCAAAAGAAGAAAGTCTTGTATTCTGCTCAGTGAGACATAAGCGTCGTAGGTTTGGATGGAGGCATAGGAAAAGTTCATACAGAAGCCCAACCTCAACAGATTGATAAAGGACAGTAACGTGAAGACGTTAACTGGTGTCAGGAGCTGACCAGTTAGTACAAGAGTGATGACTGTCAACATGGTCGCTGTTGGTGTTGAAATGTATTCAAGAGCAGCAATGCTCGACAAAACAGCACTCTTCTTACGGATCAATTTGACTTCATCACTGCAAAAAAAAAACAACCAAAAAAAAACAGGAAAAAAAACTATAATGTTATCAGTCATTTTAGGAAGGGTGAAATCACAGATTAAAATAAAAAAAAACAACAACAACAACAACTACACCATTCTTACTCGCTCAGTCCTTATTTTTTGGCAACTCAAAGTTATCCTGTGTTAAAGTGTATCTCACCTTCTCGTGCTCTTTATCTTTTCTCTACATTTATCTTCCCATGCATTTGTTTTAATGGCGCGGATCCCAGAAACAACTTGATTGATCAACGTGATGCGGCAGTCAGAAACCATGGCTGTACGCAGGCGTAGTACAGCCCCAACGTATGAGAACCCAACGTAACATGGCAGTACCATACACAATGAAACAATCCCCACTATGGTCTGCCATCCGATTAGAGAGAACAGTAAAACTGTTACTATGAATAGTTCTATTAAGCCTCGAACGCCATCAAAAAACAAGATAAAAGTATCGCTGTCCAGTCGCTGAACATCGTTCGATACGAGATCAAAAACGTGACCGGATGTAAACCTCAACAGTGAATCCTTGCTGAGAAGAAGCGTCTGCAAAAGAAACCAGATGTTCGTAAATTTATCTTTACATGAAGTTATGATTTAAAAGAAAGGCTCAATCACAAAGTGAAACAGTTTTAGAACAACATTTAGCTTTTTTTAGTCAAAAAGTGATATAAATATATTCATAACGCCTTTTTTCCCCGCTATCTTTTCTGATGATACATTTACCCGTCTAGGTCAAGTTTGAGTATATACAGATGCCCTCGATCTAAAAATTCGCATATTTTTGAAAGGATCATAAAATTTCTTTTCGCCTAACCAATAGTTTTCTTGTCTGAGTTTGCCTTGACATAATTTTAAAACACAGGTTCTATCTGGGCCCTAGCCTTTTAGATATCTGGGCTAGCTAAGTGCTTCTAGGACTTCTAGCTCGCCTCCTTTTTATCCTCAGACAAATTGGTTTTTTTTGCGTCCTGTCACCTTCAAAACCGTTCATGATAGAGCCACCAAAATGACAAAAAATGATGGTTTTTTTTTAAAAATAGGCAAAACTTGATTGACAAAATGACATACTTTGACGTTGTTATGACGTCATATTGTTGAATTCATTGGCAGAATCCAAATTCCCGTCAAAGTAGCCATAAGCTAAGGCGAAAAAATATTTAAAATCTGAAAAAGGTATTTGATAAAACCAAGTTTTCCAACACATTAATAACCTTTATTATTGATTCAAAATATTTCCCCAATTCTGTTTGGCTAATAGCACACGCATAATTCACCATATCCAGTTACTGATGACCAAATGTGGAAGAATTTTGTGTTTAACGAGAAAAATGCAGCCCTCTACAGGTTTTTTTAAGCTAGGAATTATTTTGAATGAATAATAAAACAATTATCAAAATTGGACGAAAGTTGCTAGGAATCCTGTTCATTATCGCACTTTAGCCTATGAAATCGTCAAAAAAATTTTGAACAAAGAAGTTTTTTTGATACAAACCAGATTTTCATCAAAGCTATTTTTTTAAAAATTTAAAAAACTGTTTGTTACAATTTGGTTCAGCGGTTTCAAAAAATGAGGGTTAATAGTTGTAAGTTATGTGCAGATTTATAAGAAAATTTAATGACTGGCTTTTGCATAAGCCTAACAGATTCAAAATTTTAGGCTTGTCTTCAATCATTCATGTTGCCATTTAAACGATCCAAATCTCACTTTTGCCCTAATAAATGTCATGTCGTCTTATAAATACAGTTTTGTCCGTGCCAAATTTCACCCTGATACCGACAACGAGTCTCAAAAAACACCCCCAATGAATGGCCATGATTCACAACCTATCAAACCGAGTTCAGTCACCTTAAAACCACCGACGGAGAGACTCATTTTTCCTCTCTCACCCAGAAATGGGAAGGCGTGTGTGGCCGAGTAGTTACCACCTCAAACACCGGATCTGTAGGTCCGGGGTTCAATCCTCGCCCCTCGCGTTGTTTCCTTAGACAAGGAGCTTTGCTCAACTTGGTCTCTCTTCACCCAGGTTTATAAATTGGTACCGGCGACCTACTGCTGGGGGATAACCCCTGCGATGGATTAGCATCTCGTCCAGGCGGGGGAGTAGCAATACTCCTAGGTGCTTCATGCTAATGAAACTGGGATACGCTCCGGCCGTTTGGGTCGGAAAAAGACTGAACAAAAACAGGGACGAAGGTCTGGTACTTGTTGTTGTTTTCGTAAAGTGCACATTAAGGTTAGTTTGACATCTTTCACTTTTTCATTATTTTCATTACCTTCATATAAACTAAACCTTTGAGGGCGCTGCTAATTCTGATCCCCAACACCTCACATCGGTAGCCAAACTGGTGCATGCTGAGACAACAGATCATTTCATTTACCCCAAGTGCAGAGGCACTGCCACAGAGATAATACATATTGTGTGGCTCTGCTGTCATTAGGGACTTGATAAGAAATCCAAGAAGCAATGGTTGGAGAACACGACAAATTGTCCAGAAAATGCCAGCTATAAAGAGAAGTACTAAGTCCTTTGTGGTTAACATCCTCAACACGATTTTCCAAAGTCTTGGCCAAATATCTTGTCTTTTGCTATTAGCTGTTTCTTTCGTCCAGTTTGCCCGAAGCCTCTCTGTCAAAAAGCGCGTAGTGTTTTCTTCCTCTAGAGGAAAAAGATCATTTTCATAAATGGCTCGTTCACTTCCTGTCTTCAGCGAAATGTTCATCCATTGGAAAAGAAGGGTAGAGAAGAAGCTCTTGTTTGCCATTTTTGTGGTGCCTAGAACAAAAACAAAAACAAAACAAAACAAAAATCAGATAAGGTTTTCATAAACAGTACATATCAATAATTGCAATACAATTTTTGGTCAATGTCACGATGATACTGATTTTTGTATGACGTAAAAACCCAGAATTAAAAGAAAATTTCCAGAATATAAGCCTGGTATCAGATCTAGAAATGGCTTGAACGTCTTCAAAAAAATTTGTTCCTCACCGCTTTTTTTTACCCCTTTTGTCAGGCTTTCGAACCACACAGGGTTTATTTCTTCAAAGTTCATGATTCATATAAAAATACGCGTTAACGTGCTGGCGCACCTCGGCTGTTAAAGAAGAAAACCTGGATACTCTCCTTGAAAATTTATCTCATTGAAAAAAAATTACCTCGGAGGTTAAATTTGCTGAATGGAAGTCGGCTTTACCACAAAACATTAAAGTGTGAAAAAAATTCTGCCTTTTGTTCATTTACAAAGTAACCCCTCCGTTGCATCACCAAGAGAACAACTTTATGAGCAAATGAGCTGATAATTGCGAACAATGGTAAAGGAATTTATCTTTCGGTTCGGCAGATGTTAGTGGAACAGGAACGCTTGACCCTAAGAACGTCTGCGTGGGAGGCTACTTGTCATACCGTCAACTGCCGCTGATAAGTCCCACCCACTCCTCCCCCAGTTAAGGCCCTTTTGCCTGTAGACAAAAAAAAATACATCCCGACTATAAAACCCCCGGAAATAAACGTATTGACATGATTTCGATTCATCCTTACGTTTTGGAAGCTTAATTGAAAACCAGTTAATTCAAAACGTATTGTGACGGAAGGTTTTTCCACTTTGAAGCGAATTTAAGGCTCAACGGGAACTCGGTGCTTGACTCACGATAAAACCGGGGAAAACTAGACTCAAATGGCAACTCGCTTGCGGGGAAGAGCCGTCACTTCTCTCGAGGTCCGGGATCAGACCACTAACTGGTACAGCAGTAGATAAAACAGACTAAACTTGGTTACAGCGTTTATTCTTCAGCGGATCAAACAGCAATAACTCGGCTAGGACACGGCGAAATAATCGACGATGTAATCGGCGATGTAATCGACGATGTAATCGACGATGTAATCCACGATGTAATCGGCGATGTAATCGAAAAATCAGTAAAACTAACTTACTTATATATGATTTTTACAACCATTGAAGACAAAAGAATACAATAGAAATATAAACAGAAATCACTTAGAGTTAAATGAAAACTAAATACAACTTCTATTTTTAACCTGAAATCTTTTGTTACTGTTTACTGTTTAGAAAGTAAAAGTACTGAGACTAAGACCTAGCCAGGTCAGCAAAACAGCGTGTATGTACAAAGTGTTACAATATGAATTAAATTGCAAGTTCAGCTATCGGCTGTTTAAACAGGAAAAGTGCAGACTAATTGGAAGTTTTCACCTTAAACAAAAAGCGACCTATTTTTAAAATTACAGGACAGCAAAACCTTTCATATTCAAAATTCGGTTATCACCTCTCCTTAACTAACAACTTAATGAAATATATTTTCGCAAATAAATATAACTAAGTTGCAATTAGAACGAGGTACACCTGTATCAAAGGCGTTACCATCAATAGGTGTCGTCTGGTAGTTAAATCACGAAAAATAGACTGAAGTCAAATAAGCCATTATTAAGAAATTAAGTATTCTTTCAAGAGTTAACATTGACGTAAAGTGTATATAACTGAAAAGAGAACGAGCAATTAGTTTTGTTTTTTAAGGAACACTGTTGGCTTTTCTATGATTATTACCTAGCGAACACAAAGCAAATGGAACAAAGGATAATAAAAATGGCACGAGCCTTTTTGCGGAGCTAAAACTTAGTTATGCAAATTCAGTATGAATTACTAAGAACAACGTCAAAGCGAATATTTGAAAGCTATATGTGATATTCGAGGCAAATAAAGAATTCATGGAAAATCTCTCCTTACAGTATTTTGATCAGCATCGTTATGGCTTATTTCAAAGCGCTTTTTCCATTCCGGTGATAAGGACCTTCGGATATACGTCCTTCATTTATTAGCCCTCCTAAAACTCCGTACGAAGATGTATCAGCTTATAAGCAGCGGTTTACGATATTTCTTTTGTTACTATCGATAACCTGATGTTGTCACAAGCACCCCGGCCATGCCTGTTGAACCTAATTGTATGTTACGTAATCATTTGCGAAATAGCGAAAATTTAGTGTTAGGGCTTACATAGGTAAATATGCAATTTAAAAGAAAAATTGCAAACGCTACTGTTTTCAATGAAGAACCGGCTTCCCGTAAGTCCCTCCCAAGCACCACGGTCATGCCTGTTGAACCTAATGTAATGTTACATAATCATTTGCAAAATAGCGAAAATTTAGTGTTGAGGCTTACATAGGTAAATATGCAATTTAAAGGAAAAATTGCAAACCCTACTTTTTTCAATAAAGATCCGGCTAACCGTAAGTCCCTCGTCTGTAGTTTTATGTTTGTCACTGGTTTTTGGTCGATTTCTGCTAAGGGTTTTCGTTTTCCCGGCCACTAAGCACCAATATTCAGAGTGCAAAGATCGCTAAATAATGAGGTGTTAATACTTCTTCCATTGTCCGTCAAAATTGTCGAAGTAGTATTCTGTTTGAGAAAATCTACTTATTCCGGAAAAAAGAAATCGCCATTCTGTTCTTTATAAAGACAAACTTTGTGCCATTCTTATTCCAATCTTCCTTTTCAGCCCCCGATTATTTACATCTGCACCTTCAAACCTGTGATGTAATCAGGAGCAACAAACGACTGTTTTCTGTAAAATATCTATCGGTAGAAGCAAATATTGCCTAGAATTTTTTATTGCTTGATGACGGTTAAAAACTCCTAGATGATCGTTCCATTCACGTAGAATTTTCGAAGGTTATCTAGTCATTTCCCTACGATTTTCTGGAGTATTATTCTTCGCATTGATATCACTGCCCTGGTTAGGCTATTTTTCGTATAAAAAGGAAACCTAAGATGTTCGGATTCAAAAATGTGATGGAGAGAATCAGAAAAATTCTCACGCTCGTAATACGTTACTGCATCTAAAATCTTTGGGAAAATAATACTGCAGCCCTTGTATTTTGGAAAAGGCTCAAGTTCCCCTAGGATGACCGAACAGCTACAAATTTTATAGCGCCGCTTGGAATGCATTACTAGAGATCTTACTATACTGAATAGCCTAAAAAAAGATTTCAATTCTTGTTGGGTGCCCCTGATGTAATGACCTTGGATGCACTGGGGTTATGACTTTAAACGTGCTCATAAGAAAAGCCAAACGACTCAGGTTAAGTGTGTCCCCGTCACAGGTCAAGAGAACGCAGGTAGTGATATCGTTAATTCATTGAACACTCTTTTAATGCTTTTTTTTTAGTTGTCAGAAGAACTTTTTGCATAAGAAATGAAAAATACACCTACCTTGTGCACTTGTTGAATTTTGCCTTGGTGAAACAAAAACGAGGTTTGAATCTAGAGAGGCGGTTAAGACTTTTAAAAATGTTGGTTGGACAATACAAGCTGTTTTTGTCAGCCACTTATCCAGCATCGCATCATGATAGTATCTGTAAATATTAGTTAATACTTGCTGTAACCGTACGTGTGTGTTAGGATTGGGGTTTCTTGGATCTTGTGGATACATAGAAATTCCATCAGATTAAACTCCATTAATTGACTCTCCAAAAGGAAAATGTTTTAATCGATGCCATCTTAAATTTGAGCTCAGTACATCTGAGTAGTCGCACCAAACGGGACCTGTTGTTTTGATATCAAGAGATATTGGAAAGGAAATGTAATCGTAACTAAATTTTTATAAGCCGATATTAAAAAACGCTATGGTGTGTCGTTTATGAATATTAGAAAACAAGCTGCACTATTCTTCACTGAAATAGATAACGCAAAGCCGGTTGGGTTGTATAATATTAAAATAATAATAATAATAATAATAATAATAATAATAATAATGATAATAAAAATAGAACGCACACTGATTCAACTATCTATTCATAGGAAATCTTCGTGAAATTTCGGTGTCTGTGCCTCGTGGAACATGATGCCTCCAGCACGTGACCAGGGGTCAATTCAATTAAACTTTTACAAGTGTTTTTACAAGTTTACTGTAAAGTGAACCTTATGCTCGTCAACACCGCCTGAATAGTTATGTCAGTAAAGGACTGGCTTTCGTCCATTCAAGAACGTACTCATCCGGTCATGGTTTTACTTGGCTATTTTCTCTAAAATAAATCAAGTATTCTAGCATGTAAAAGAAAGAAACCTTTGTTCGTGACAAATTCAATATTTGTTTAATATGTTGGCTGATAAATATTACACACGCAAAATAACGCGAACTACTCCCCGATGAATATCTGGTCATCTCGCAAACTATGCGCAGTCACATCACGAAATTTCCTTCAATGATGACGATGAGAAGAAGGACGAATATCTTGCTAGAACTCTATCTTACAAGCAAGCACGTAACCACCATGCCTCGATATAAACTAATCATATCGCGTCATAATGTTTGATTTTATGCAGGATTGCATTGAAAGTGTACACCGACAGCGTTGGCGAATGACAAAAAAACAACGACAACAATAACAGCGCTTGGTAGCACAGGACGCACAAGGATTAGTTGCGTTCTGCTGACGACGTAAAACTGTTGATCGGTGAAGCGTCAAGCTAAGAGTACATCTACCTTGAGCAGCTCAGTTCTATCAAAGAGTAGCCAAATGGCTTTTGTCTCATTGCAATATCCGAAAGACACCAAACTAAGATACTATTTTAATGGTTGCAAAGCGCGAAATATTTCATTACAGAAGTTACCTTATTCTCCTTAATTTTCGCGGGTTCTTAAATTCGCGAACTTAAAGACCCGCGAAAAATAACGACCGCGAACTTTGATCTCGCGAAATTTAATGGACATAGAAAAATCATGTAGTGGTGTTTTCACGGGTCCTAAACAATTTTTAACACAAGGTGTTAGTACAAGGAGCTATCATTTATCAACTTTAGATGTTAATCAGTGTCAAGATTCGCCTCAAGTTCTTTTTCGGTCAAGATTCGCCTCAAAACATCCTTTTTCGTCGGCATTTGAGTAATCATCTTTTCGCACAGTTCCTCCTCAAAACATCCTTTTAAGTAAACAGTCGTCAAATTGAGAAAATTTTTGTTAGCGCGTAACGATCGTAGATGTTGTTTCGTTTAAGTCCCGATGGGCTTCCAAATTTCGAAAATAAAACAGAATAAGGTAAAGACTAGTTTGAGTTATCAGTCCCTAAAGGAATAAGGTACTTTTGACTTTTTTTTGAGTATTTGGGTAAATATGTTAAGCCGTCTTTTTACCTTTTCCTTTCACGTTTGTTGGTTAGTAGGGGTGGAGGATGAACTAGGGGTAGTCAAAGCAAACACTTGCATGGTAATGTAAATTTTGCCGGCCGGTGGTCAGGCACATTCCAAAAATACTTTGGGTGTCTATGACCCCCTCGTTCTTGTAGTAAGAAATTAAGGAAGCATCACAGAATTACAAGTTTTTTTGAAAACTTCATAAACGCAACTAAACGAAGAAAAATGTGTTGGAAATGGTAGACCTGGTAATGATTGCCGCTATAGCCAAGCCTCTCTCTCTTAATAGGGAAACGTCTCTCCACCCATAGTTAATTGAGTGGAATGGTTATCATTAAATTTTTTGTAAACCAAATGTTCAAAAGAATTCTATCATTTTGATTGTATTGACCAATAAAAACGTTGCATTAATTTATTCCGTAACAATTTGCCAACAGAAAACGTTGTGCACTTTCACGGTGCTTTGAACCACCATTGATGTTTGAAACTAAAAAAATGGTCAAAGACCACTCAGTCGTACAAATGGCAGAGAAGGTACTGTAACGTCAAACTGGTCATTCAAATCGCAACAGTGCAAATAATTCACGTCTGTGTCTTCCGCAAAGAATGGAGCATGATTGAGTTGCTCACTCAATGCATCCATCTTCAAAGTGGTGACGTCACAAACCGATTCTTGATATATTGTGGCACAGTGCATTATGGGAAGACTGCATAACCTTCCATTGCTCTGATTTATGGCTTACGTAAATAGAGGTTCTCGAAATGCTATATCCCTTATTCTGGGGCGATATCGCAACCTTTCTCTGATTTTTCATTCTTATAAAATTTGCTTACTAGCTCCTAAGAACCTGGCTACTGCTAGAGTTTGAAACACCTGTCTGTCTTATTTTTCAGAGGAACGTGATCGGCTTAAGGAAGTGTTCTCGAAACGCGCATATCGGCAGCAGATGTTCAGTTTAACCTTCAAACATGTCGTCGACCGTCGACCGTAAGGTTTAGGACAACCAACAATTTCCCCGAATGTCACGTGAGAGAATAGACACGATCTTTTTCATCTTACCCAAGTTCAAAGACCAAAACCAGGGAACGTTGTCAAACACTGTCTAAACGATCTAAGCTGTGTGGTTAAAAACGTGATCAAACCGGTGTTCATCAGCAGCAAATTATATAAACGAAGACCTTAAAGTGTTAGAAATCAAGCCCTGTGAATATTGTTAACGAATGAATGTGTTGTTTGTGAGTGTCAATGTAACCCGTGTGATACAGAGTATGTAATCTGCTCTCCCTTTTCCACTCACTCCCGATCCTCTACCCCTTTCGAAGCCCGCCACGCAGGCTATAGAACATGTGGGATACATTCGGCGCCACCGGAAAGAAAGCGTTGATGATCATAAACAGAAATTGTATTCTATATTTTAATTTATGAACGAAGAACGATATACCAAAGTATCTAAGAAATAGACCAGAAATGCCAAGGCGTAACATTGGGTATTGAAACTGTCAATTTCTTAATGCATGCAGACGATCACTTGTTAATGAGTCCAAATCCTGATCTACGGACTACAAAAATCTCTCTTGAAGTAAATGACATAATTATATAGACGGTTTCTAAAGTAGCAGCCCCCTGAAAGTGATATAGCTAGTACCCAAAAGTAACATCCGTTTTTCGAATCTTCCTTTCCTGCTTGCCCTTTATGAAGCGATATGCCTTGATTTACTGTACCATTCATCAGTGCCTAACATCAAACAAGCTTTATTGATATATTTTGAACTGAAACTCACTGTTCAAACGAAGTTCCCGTAAAGCACCTAGTCATGGCTCAGAGTTTGCATTTATAATTCAGCTGTTATCTCAAGCTTCACGCAGATGTGTTTTCAATTGTGTTTTATCGTACAAAATTATTACTGTAAGATTAAGAATTCACCGTGGATTAAAGCAACACCATGTTCATTGCGCATTCGTGGTCAATTTGTGTGGCTCTATGGCCGGTAACCGGTTGAGGTTTTCAAAACACTAAATGACCGGCAGTCAAATATTTTCAGTAAATTTCACAAAATCGAAAAATCCCAGCTAATCTGAATTATCATATTTCGATTAAGAAAAGTCAAGCGATCCTGAAATGCTTTATAGATCTCAAGTATAGCATTTGGGTTTATGCTGGGCTCAGAAGACGAAACCAATTGTTTTGTGACAGTTACAACTTTTTAAAACTCCATTGCCGGTCAAAGTCAAAACCATTTGAGAGAAAATCATTGTCATATATATTTGGAAAATTGACTTTTCTCGACCAAGAGAAAGGTTCTGCTTGCCGAGGAATCCTTCAGCAATGATCATCAGACGTCATTTCTCACCTCTACTAATTCTTCGAGTTCGGAGGTGTTCGTCTACGTTTGACTTTCTCTGGAAACGTCCATCAGCAAATTCACAATTGTGTCAAGAAATAGTGTCTTAATATGACTTAGGGTCTACGACAGTCAACTTCTGCTAGGAAGTGTACATGACAAAATTTGACCCCGGCTGAGAGGGTAACCTCACCTAGCTGGGATCCCCCACATCCATGTAAGCAGACACTAAAAGTGGTTCAAACTCTAATGTCTTCAGTGCATGACTTGAATAGACTGGAGTTCGGAGAGCAAAATTAAGCACTTCTTAAAAAGACTTATCAAAAAGCTTCCGGAAAAAAAAGCTGTGGGTTCTTACTAAAATTTTCTATGTTTTCCATTTAAGAAATAAAAATCTCATTTAGTTTATCAAAAACTAATGCGTAAGAATATTCCTTGTTTATTGCATATGCATATTTCCTACATCATAATGTAGCTTGCCCGCTTTCAAGGAAAATGATTTCAATCTCTGTGATCCACGACAAGCAGTATGCATGGTTAATACCATATTCAGACGGCAGCCGTTGACAAGGAAACTTTTACTCGCTTACGAAATTAGAATACATGGGTTCTAGAGACTAAATAGGGGTCAACTATGAAATATGACGGCAGTTGGCTTCATTGATGTGACCACAGCTACTTGCATGGAGGACCACTCTATTTACAGCTTCTGTCATTTAAAACATTAAACTCGAAGTGCTTTCTTCGCTTTCATAATGATATCAAATCTATCAAACCCATCAACTTCTCCATTTCTCAAAACTAAAATCTTGTCACAGTCTCTTACTGTGTCTAAACGATGTGCTATAGTTATAATCGTGGAATCCTTCAGCTTCTCACGCACTGTCTTCCAGATTGTTTGTTCTGTGTCTGGATCAACGTGTGCAGTTGGCTCATCCAAAATGACGATTTTCTTTTGGTGCAACAGGACGCGAGCCAAGCAAATAAGTTGCCGTTCTCCAACACTTAAATTTGCACCGTGCTCCAGCAATTCATGATCTAACTGACCTTCCAATTTCTCTACAAGATTTTTCACTTGCACCTGCTCTAGAACTCGCCAAAGTTCTGCGTCTTGAAATTGTCCAATCAGATCAAGATTTCTTCTTACCGATCCGCTAAAAAGAGCAGGATTTTGGCCAAGAACGTTTATTGCTCGCCGAGATTCTTGAAGGCTGAGACTCCTTATACTGACATTATCAATCAATATATCTCCATCAGCTTCAGGCATGCGCAATAGTGCTGCCACAAAAGAAGATTTCCCTGCGCCAGTGCGGCCCACAATGCCAATTTTAGCTCCTCCATTGATGTTAACTGAGATATTCTTTAGACTTTGGGGACCCCCGGGATAGTAAGTCAGGTATACGTTTTTGAATGCTATATTTCCTTCATCAGGCCACATTTTCGGGGCATTCTGTTTCACTTGGTATCCAGGCTCAGGTTCAACCTCTGTGTAGGTCATAACTCGCTCCACTGACGTCATCAAATTTTCGACCTTGGATGATTTCCGGACAGTGTAATGTGTCAGAGTTACAGACTGCACTACGTAAACTAGTGCAAGACCAGCGAAAACTGAAACGCAAATTGGTGAAACGTATCATCATTAGATGTGATGTTATAGCCCATAAGTTGACCTTGCATGTGCAGCAAACCAAAGGTCTGTTCCAAACGTCGTGCTACTGCCGTGCAGAGCTCAATATATTAGAATGCATCATAAAAGTTCACTAAACCGCTTGTTATTTTATTCGACGGACTTAAATGCGAAGTCCAGGAGGGAAATGCCATCTCTATTGTTTTCATGTGTTTGTCTGTGACCGATTGTTCACTGCCATTGTGACGTAACATAGCAACCGCTGAGAGCTTCGGGTCGCTTGTTCAAATTTGCAAGGGACACCATAGTCGTTCTAACAAGAGAGGTTGGGGAAAGATTAAAAGCTAGGCAAATACTGCTATACATCACTAATTTCAACATACGTGTGTGAGCTTTGTTGTTACTTTAATCTGGTTGTGTAAACCGTTTTGGTATTTTGTGTTTGTAATTGTGTAATTCTGCAAATTTGTGTCGCAGGCCGTGTTGCCGGATCGCCATCTTCTTTACGGGACCAGCAAGGGCATAAAAAATTAGTTCATTTTTTTCTCTAAAATAGACACTATCTAGTCTCCAGAATAGGAGGTTCAATTCACAGGTCACAAACGTTTATATTCCATATATTCTTTCGCTAATTAAATCGACCGTACTTCTCATCAATCCCTTCGTTTGTGAGCCTTTGTTTATTTCTGAATTCTCCACCAAATTCAGTACAGCTAGTTTGATCGAAATAATGCAAAATAGCTTTGAAATACGCGCTTAAGCTAATTTTTCCTCACTTTAAATTCGTGATAAACACAGCTTCACCAGCTTCAAACGGCGTCTATGGCAACAACAAACCTCGCGCACTTAAGATCAAATAAGCGATGTATTGCAATATTTGCCTAGCTATAAATCTTATCCCGCCCTCTCTTGTTCGAATGACTACGGTGCCCTTTCATATTTGCACAAGCGACCCGATACTCTATGTGACGTCACCTTGGCAGTGATCAGTGAGGAGATGTTTACCTAAGAGATGGCTCCTCCCTCCTGGCGACGTCTAAGACCAAGTCGTGTTGCAGTTTCGATAGAGTAGTGCTGAAGTCGAGCCAGCTTAGAACGGCAGAAGCATGACGTTTGAAACAGGCCTAACACTCTGGGCCTGACTGATATTCTTTTATACTACCAGTGGATTATATTTCCTTTGAAAGCCTTATTGTTATTGTTGTTATCAGATCACATCTATCTTCAGCAGTGGCACATTAACAGGCACCGCTTGCAGATGTACAAGATGAGTGGTCCACTCTATGAAATTTATCAAGTGTAAAAAATCAAGTCACCCATTTAAACATGTGTTTTCGTTTTCCCCTTTAATAAAATGAAATTATATTTACCAGCATCTTGAGACACAAAAATCGCAGCAAGAGCCACTACACCAATCAACAGAGCGGAGAGAAAATCTAAGCGAACACCGAGCCAACGGTTACTGGCAACTACCATAATAAACGACTGGGTATGAACATCTTGATAACTAAAAAAGAAACAAAATTGGCATTTAATTTCACAATTAACACATGCAAATTCAAATGTTAAAATGGTAAGGTCTTTGAAAAGACATTGTTGTGAACGAGTTCCTATAAACTGACATTGGCAACTTCTCTTTCCAGGAGACGAACCGGCAAAAAACTGCCAGCGTTACTCTGGCGCTTTCAGTATCTTTCGCGAAGAGGCAGTCATGAAAGTCTCCGGAATCTGGCAACAAATAACTATTATTATAGTTGAAACTTATTCTAGTAGTAGTTACCTGCAAAACTTATCCACGAAATCTTTCTCCCTTTTCCTTGTCCGAATAGTCTCGAGTCCATCAAGCGTCTCCGAAAAGTGAGAATAAACAGGACTACGACAAATGGATTCCAGCCTTTGTAGCTCCCTGGATGTCCTTAAGTAGTATCTTGAAATGAAAGCGGTCAACACAGTCATTGGCACAATAGCAAGCAGAATCCAAGGATTTGCCGCAGTTGGTAGAAGAACAGACGTCAACATTACCAAAATCAGCTGGATGGATTTCAAAAATGTTTCGGGTAGTAGTTCATCCATGCAGCCTACATCTTTAGAGAACCTATTCATGATTCGTCCTACGGGATTTGAATCAAAGAAAAAGACCGGTGCTTGTAGAATAGCCACAACCATTTTATCATGGAGTCGCTCAGAACATCTTAACAATGCCAAATAGACGCCAAACGCTCGAACGACGAGAAGTATGAAAGATGCCCCAACAAGAGACCCAAAGATGATAAGGTTTTTCTTATTTCGTAGATCCTCCAAACGCATTGTTGTCAAGAACGACAGCCAAACATCGCAGGAAACCAAGATTGCTAAACAGAAGACAGGGGAAGAACAACATAAGAAACCTCTTAGCAAATTCATCTTAAACACATAAAAGGGTGAATCACGAATATATAAGCAGTAGTCGGTAAATCACTGGTAATTCGCCAATAGAGGGAATGGGGAGCTTTATATTCACTGCTTGTTCTATGAGTGCTACATAAATGACCATAAAAAATCATGAAGGCCAATTCAAGGTATTCCGCATATAATTGTGAATGCTAATTGAAGGTATTCCTCCTATAATCATTTTTTCAGCACATATAGCAAATAGCGATAGATATCTATTGGCTATTCAAAGTCATCTGATAAACCTCTAATATCATTTTAAACTTTTTAGAACAGAATTTAAGGACATTTTATCCATAAAATAATTGTTCTGCATTTGAATAACTCAGGCAGTTTTATGTTCTTAAAGTTGCAAGCCGCGTTGGAGATGTGTGTGTCAATTAGTCAACAATCTGCACGTTACCTTGAGTGATAAAACAGAAGCAAATTCCTCCGATGATAACCAGCAAAGGTACTCCGCTTCTGAAGTAGTTCCAGTAAAGTTTAGGTGAAACCACCCCGATAGCTCGATCTTCTTCCGATAGCTGCAGGCCCTCGACGTTATGCGGTGCAGTTGCACCTCTCAAGTCAGAAATTTGATCTTCCTGCTCACTTTCTTTTCCAATGCCATTATCAGATTCTTTCACTTGCTCATACAGCGAATCGACAGTTGTATTGAGAATACCATTTTCTTTCAGCTCAGTGAAACTTCCCTTACCCAACATCCGGCCTTTAGATAATACAATAACGTCATCGGCTTCGCGCATGATCCTTTCTTGATGGGAAGTTATCAACCGGGTTTTCCCTCCCAGTAAGCCTTTGATGCATTCAATAAAGATGTGATGGCCAACTTTAAAGTCTACAGCAGTTAAGGGATCATCTAACAAGTAAAGGTCTGCTTCGGTGTAGACAGCGCGTGCCAAGTTTACTCTTGCCCGCTGGCCTCCACTTAGAACCGCACCACGCTCTCCAACAATTGTCTGGTCACAATCTGGGAAACCCTGAATGTCTTGGGTCAAAGCGCAAGCTTCAATGACTCTGTCGTACTTGAATTTCTCGTACTGTTCGCCAAACAAAATGTTTTCTCTAATAGTTCCAGAGAATATCCAGGCAATCTGTGGCACATAAACAACAGTTCCTTTGCAGGTTATGGCTCCGTTTTTGTCTGCTATTTCGCCAGCAATTGCTGACAGAAGAGTAGATTTGCCACTGCCCACTGGTCCTGTTATAGCTGTTAAACTTCCTTCTCTAGAGGTGAAACTGATACCTTGCAAAACGGACTCATCCTTTTGATCAAGCTGTCGTCGTATCGTTAAGTTTCTGACTCGTAAGATAGTTGGTTCTGTTAGTTCTGCTACGATGGAAGGAAAAATCACTTTTTCAGTTTCTTCTCTCTGATTTTCCGTGGCGTTTGCTGGTGGTAGATTATTCAAATGAAGGAAGTCCTGTATTCTACTGAGTGAGACGTAAGCATCGTATGAAAGGAGGAAAAAATTAGATAGACCCATACTGACACTCATTCTTAGCAGATTGATAAAGGAGAGTAACATGAAGACGTTAACTGGTGTTAGGGGCTGCCCAGTTAGCACAAGAGTGATAACAGTCACCAGGGACGCCATTGGTGTTGAAATGTATTCCACAGCAGCAAAGCACGACAGAATGCCACTTTTCTTACGGATCCAACGGATTTCATCGCTTTAAAGAAAACAGACATGAAATGTCAAACACTTATTTTTTCTTACTGATATTAGTTCCTGTTTCGAAACTACTCGTGTTTGTTGTTTTAGAGCCCGCTTCTGTTATCATTGATACTGATATAGTAATGACAATAAATGAGGGTTTAAAAATGGACGAGGATGGAGCTGAAGGTGAGAGGAAAAAGAAATTATAAGCAATGACAAAAAGTCGACGATAACCAGCAACCACACCTGAAACCTATCCGTTCTCTCAACTAGGTAGACACTATGACATGGAGCTGGGATTTAAACAGGCATCTACTTGGCAATTATTTGTGTTTCTTTGCTCTTTCTTAGCTTGTGTTTCGACTATAAAATCCCTACTCGTTGGCTAGAAAAGAAACTAATACGTTTGAGACTGGCATGAATATCCTCACGCATCACGGGACGAAAAAATGGATTTGCACAAATTTGCTCATTGCAAATTTGTCGGAAAGTATCGAGGAGTAAACATATGGCAAACACGGTAAATGCCACATTTGCCTAGTTATTTATATTGATAACCCCTGTTTTTTGGTATGCAAACTTTGGCATTTACCATCTTTGCCATATATTTACTCCTCAGTGTTCACATATTTGTGACATATTTGCAAGAAGCAAATTTGTGCAAATCCATTGTTTCGCCCAATAAACTGTATTTATTAAAATAATTATTGTTGTTGGTGGTGTCGATTATGATAGTTATTAGTGGGTTTACTTGTCCTCCGACCATCCATTTCAAGTTTATTACAAAGTGTGACGGCTTATTTCATTACAAAGTGCTATGGTCTGTTATTACAAAGTGCGACAAGTGTTATTACAAAGTGCGACAGCTATTACAAATTGCGACGATTATAATTACAAAGTACGACAGAACAGAGTTCAGGATCAAAGGATGCAAAGCCAGCATTTCACCCATACCGATATCACTGACGGCTGTAGGCTAAACCGCAGCAGTTGGCTTTATTGCAGAAACAAAAACTCGCCCCATGCAAGGTAACCCCAGACAGTCTTGGATTCTCCGGCACACAATTGTGGATTCTGGATTCCTTCAGTTGTCAGTGGAGCTTGAATTCCAGATTTTAAAAAAATAAATTTCTTGGATTTCTGAATTCGGATTACCTTAAATGGGGCGAAAAAACAAAATAGGACTAGAAAAAGGTTGCCAGGAAAACGACGGCATATTGATCGAAAGAAATAGCTCAGTGGTAGCCCTGGTTGCAATTTTCCTTACCTCCGCACGTTCTTTATCTTTTTTCTATATTCATCTTCCCATGCGTTTGTTTTGATGGCGCGGATCCCAGACACAACCTGGTTGATCAACGAGATGCGGCGGTCAGAAACCGATGCTGTTCGCAGGCGCAGTACAGCTCCACCATGGGACAATCCACTAAAGCATGGCAGAAGAATACACAAGAAGATAAATCCCACCATAACCTGCCATCCGATGAAATAGACAGCTAAAAATCCTAATATTAAAAACTCTAAAAAGAAGGGAGCTGCATTGAACAATGCCCAGAAAGTTTCGCCTTCCAGTCGCTGAACATCGTTCGATACGAGGTCTATCACGCGGCCCGTTGAAATCCTCAGCAATGAATCCTTGCTGAGCAGAAGAGTCTGCAAAAAAAAAAATCATGTATTCCTCGTAAATACTCTACAGAAGCAATAAAAGAAGGTTACATGGTCAAGGGTCGAAAATTAACCAAATCATCGATTGTTGATTACTTATTAAATATTAAATTAAAACAAACAAACAAAACATAAAACTAAACAAAACGAAGAGTGGGGCGTGGTCACAACAATCGCCAACCCCTAGCCTGCGAGGACATTCGCTTCTCCTCGCTCTTCGCCGTTGGGGACGTTTCGCGCGGAGGAACGTCTGCGACTCAGCGACAGAAATTCCATACTGATGACGTAAAATCTGTCCGGAATCCGGTCAGGAGCGCTTATTGGTCAACGGAGTAGTTACATTGTTTTAGCTATTGTTTACGAATGACAGACAAAAGACAAGAGGCCACAAAGGTTAAATCTAAACGCGAAGAATCTCAAACAAAACAGCCAATATTTGTGGAATATACTCTTCTCTTGAAGAAGCATTTCAGTTTTGCTGGAGCTCGTTGGCAGATGAACACAACACTCCACCAAAATCGACCAGAAGACACGTAAAATTGGTCAAATTTATATTTGGGACCTCATGACTACCGGATTTATAATGTAAACATTGATTTGCGTCATCAGTATGGAATTTCTGTCGCTGAGTCGCAGACGTTCCTCCAAGCGAAACGTCCCCAGAGGCGAAGAGCGAGGAGAAACGGATGTTTTCGCAGGCTACCCAACCCCTAGAGGGGGTGGTTCGTATTAACCGTCGACGACGTCACATTTATGATTGACAGAATGATAAAAAGACTCATGTTGAATCTTGGCGATAACATTTCACATTTAAGGGCGTTCGGTGATCTGCTTCTCAGAGAAAAAAGAGTAAAAGAATCTGTCAGGATGAACCTGAGGAAAAAAAAAATGCAAACTAGGAAGAATGAGGTAACAGTGAAGGAAATAGAAAGCTACGTGCAAACGAACGCAACAAATTCCAACAAAACGCAACAACATGCAACAGGGTGTGCAAACGGACGCAACATGCAACACCCAACAATGTTGGAAGTTATTGGCCAAAAATGTTGCGTCTGTTTGCGCGGGGCTAAGTGCTGTAAATATGCCTTAAGGCTGGTCCTTGCTTGTCACCTGATATTTTTTCTTTCGTTACCTTCATATAAACTAATCCTTTAATGGCGCTGCTAATTCTGATACCAAAGACCTCACAGCGGTAGGCAAATTGGTGCCAACAGACAGAACCGATTAATTCATTGATCCCGAGTGCTAAAGCACAGCCATAGAGAAGAAAATGATGCTGTAGTTCTGCCATCATCAGAGATTTCACGAGATATCCAAGAAGCAGTGGTTGGAGAACGCGACAAAATAGAGGCACTGTGACAGTTACAAAGAGGATCGTTGCTTCCTTGGTGGTGAGCATCTTCAAAACACTTTTCCAAAGTTTTGGTGGTTTATCATGCCTTTTGCTGGTCGCTGTTTCATCTGTCCATTTCGATTGAAGTTGATCTGTCAAAAAGCACGCGGTGCATTCTTCGTTAAGAGATAAAAGATCATTTTCATCGATAGCCCGTTCATTTCCAGACTTCAGAACATCGTTCATCCATCGGAATAAAAAAGTGGAGAAAAAGCTGACATTTTCCACCTGTGTAGTACTGCTGACCCTTCTGTAACTTGTCTTTGCCATTTTTCGGGTGCATAAATCTAAAAATAAGAACAAAAAACATGAAAATGGCGCAAGATTCTCCTGCAGAGCTATTCTGACTCAACGTACGGTAGCACGACTACTCTAACACGACTCTAGCATGACATGGTTTCAGACGCTGAATATATTTCAGTTGAATAAAGTAGCGGTTGCCGAAAACAAGAGATAGAGAAAAATAAACGGTTTAAACAACTTTTTTGAAAAAATGTTTCTATGATAATTCTAACGCCCAAACGCACATATAAGATATGAATCAAATTCATATCAAACCAGTTCGTACTACTGCCGTACGCCGTACGCATTTTGACCGTCAAAAAATTGGAGGATTTTAATTTTCTTCGAGGGCTAGCTCCGGGCCTTTTGGATGGATTTTCGATCGAAACGTACGAGAAGAAGCGTGAATCTTTAGCCCTTTCTGCTACGTGGTTTGAAAGCGGAGCGATGAGCTTTTCTGGGAGAACTCGCTCCGGCGCTGGAGCCGTTCAAAAAATTGATTCACCCTTGTCCATTTATTAAGAGGAAAAGAAGCGGACTTAAAATCCTTCAAAACTGCTCAAAATACCACTTCCGTGAGGCAAAATTTACCGTAGGTAAGGTAACACAACGTTTATTTAGCACTGGTCCATGCACATATTTTGCGAATATATACCGCTACAGATAAAACAAACGGTGAATCCAGTACAATTACAATAGAAAATAACATCGGTTACAAAAACAGGTTGTGGACAGATTGTGTGAGCTCCCTGTGGATGAATAGTTGGCAGTTAACGGTTCGATGAACGGTACATGTATTGCTTATGGACAGTATATGTCCTCACCTTTACTTTAAGAATAAAACAAGAATATTTTCAGCCTAAGATCGGCAGACAAAATAAGAATATTAGGCCTAGGCCGGAAAAATAACATTCTCGTATTAAAAAAAAAGAGTGCATGCAGTCCTTCCATAAACAAAGTGTACTTTACTCAGTTGAGGAAAATAGAGAATGGGCTATTCTATTACTTACTGTTAAAATTAACGCAAGGGTGTTGATCGGACAGAGAAAACCAACCCCCAAAAAAACCAACACGGTTTACTGACTCTGTGTAATGAGAAAGCCCTGATGAGCTCGAATCATTTTGTTGTTCCTCGTCCGTCGTGAACTTTTCAGCCTTTGGTTTATTCTTATCATATTCTTAAGATTTTGCAAATTTCAGCCGCGACATTCTTATAAAATATAATCTTATAGAAAGAAAATCTATCGTCGAATTTCGGTTTAATCGCTGTTTTCGTCAAAGTAGCCTTTTAGATATAACAAAAAGAGCTCAGCAGTGCGTTTCACCCCCATTCACATGTTTTCGTGTTTCCTAAGTTTGGTTTTACGGTACATTAATTCGCCTTGTTCATACATCTTACGCATGAAGCAAGCCCCAAAATTGTATCATGTAAATCGGCCTTGACGTTGGAAGTGGTATTAATCTTGAGTTTATGACTTTTTAGAGTACTCTATTTTTTCTTTAATTGCCTCAGTGAAACGTTTTCATTTCAAATGCAGTGCCAGCTCGTTTTTAGCGTTGATGCATTCTTCTCGAATTTGCATTTTTTAATTTGAATAATTGAAGAAATGCCAACACGACTACCGTTGAAGGACTCTCAAACCGCGGGTAAAATGCTGAACAATTGCCCGGCAGCTATAGTTCTATACACGAAATAATTAAAAACGTATCTTTGTTCTCCAGCGGTGTACATGTACCGCTGAAAAACTCCTTACAAGCCTTAGTTGAAATGGATGGCCATCCGAAGGCATTGCTCCGGTTCTTAAATGCAGTCAGCTGTATCCTTACATGGATAAAATGTTTTTGGTCTTCAGCTATAACCATTTTACCTGTGATAAGCAAGAAACAGAACTGAACTGAAATCCTCAACATGGTGTAACCTCAGTGCTCTATCTGATCCCTTGGTCTCTGATGTACGTAACTGACCTAACTTGCCAAATTAAGGAAACGACCGAACAGTCAGGGAATGACTTGAGTCTCCATTCAATCATGTGGACTTTCCTGACCCACCGTACCCCGCAAATAATGGCAGATTCTTCTTTAAACAAAGTGTTTCTTCTATATATATCTCTGTTCACGTCAACAATAATTTCAAAAGTACTTACCTACAAATCGTGTTAAATGATGTCCTCGTGAAAAAAGGGTCTCAACAAGTTTCCCAGACCATTCTTCAATTTAATGTTGGGGGCTATTAAAATAACTCGGTAGAGCGTAAAAAGAAATTGTTTATATGCAAATACCGCAAGTATGGAGGATCGTTGAAGCATCAAGCATTGGCTGAGGAGCTCAGGAATAATTCATCATCAAAAGAAATTAAAAAATAATATTCTGCCTTTGTTAACGATGTCAAATGTTTGCATTCTGCTTAATGAATACTTTCAACATACAAGGGAAACTAAACTAAGAAAAAACAGTTTTGTTAATAGTAAGTTGCAAGCCGGTACCGACTATTACAAGAGGATTGTAAGCAGCTGTTTAAGCCATTCATCTGTAACGCAAATGCAATATTACTGTAGTCTCTCCCTCCTAAGTATTGCAACATAAATATTATCGATTTTTGCTTTCGAATTCAGTTGCGTTCAACCACTGGAAAAGAATAATCGTATTTGTTTCTTTGCTGCACTGAAACCAGAATTCGTTCTTCAAAAAGATAACCGCATGGTTCTCGGTTACTTCGAGGTCACATAACTCTCATGACATCTAACGACAAACTGTTTGATTCCATCCAAAGGTTCCCTAGCGGGCAACATATCAAAAAGTATGACTTAGGGGTGCAATTTATCCGAGTGTAGCATGCGAGCAAGTTCTCAATTTGTGGAAATCGTGAAAAGTAGAAGCGCGAGAGGCACGCGAGAGGAGACGCGAAAGCGGGGCGCGGGGACGGCCCCTAGCGGCTTTGCCGCTCGTTCGTGCGTTCCATAGCGCGGCTTGCTTCGCTCGCCCAAATGGGAGAGCTTGCTCGCAGGCTAATCCGAGCGCATCAGTGGTGACCGCGCACATGAAATCCTTAACGAAGATGGGCTACAGAACAAATGATATATGACTGGTTCTTTGCATTGGAAAACTAACTAATTTTGTTTCCCTCGACTTTCAATGCTAATCTCAACATAGACTGTTTACCAGGGGGCCTTTTCTCGAAAGGCTCTGAAACTGTTCGGGCCCGGAAAGAAATTTTAAAATCAAAACCTGTTGCTACTAGCACAGTTCCTAGCTCACAAACAAGCCACTTTTGCTTCGTTAAGTGATCGCTTTATTTTATCATTTTCAAAATCATTGAAACTTTGATCGTAAATGCAAACACAGCAAATAGTCTAGTACAGTTTCATTTTTCTGATTTAAAGCCTTACGACTAAATTTGTTGTAGTTTTACAGCCAACAGTTCATTCTATTACTCTGAAAGCCTCCTGTTGTTTTAGGGTTCCTTGAGTGGAACATGGGCTTCCTGTGCAAAAGTCAACCGTGTTTAATATTTATCCCTTCTGAAAAAAGAAACACTTCGTTTTTATCAGCAAAAACTAGGTAGCAATTATTCTTTCTTGTTTTACTTTTCCATAAAAGTAACAAACACATTTTGTGCATTTTTTCTTTAACCGTATAATTTCAACTAACGTGGGTGCCCTGTGCTAAAAGCTCAGAATGTTTAACGCTTAATTTTGACATGTTCCGCCGAACGGATTTTGGCGGATTTTTAGTATGTTGCTAGATAGGCCACCCTTACTTAAATGACGTTGAAAACAATTCTGTTGCAGTTAGTTTGATTTTGAGCCTCGAAAATGCCTAGATTAACTGGATCTGAACTGTGATATGCTAAGTGAGCGAGTCAATAGTCATGTCTCTTCGATTTTAACCAACATATTGGACATTTTTACGAATTAAGTCGGCTTACCTCAGAACCTACTAGGGTTACTCCAAGCTCAAGGACCCTAATTGACCTTTGTTTAAGAAACCCTCCAGGTAAAATAGTAAGTTCCGGTGTCCTTCACCTTGGTACTCACTTGTCTTTCTTACCCTAAGTCACGTTATGTACGAACGCGCGTTCATCGTGTGATCGAAACACTTATGCAAATCATTGATAAACACGCGCCAATTAAAAGACAGCAAACAAGCAAAAAGAACTCCCCATGGACCACATATGAAACACGTAAGGGACGGACCATTAGAAAAGTTATGGTTTAGCAAATTCCTCGGATTAATTTTTTTTAGGCCATGGCATGAATATTTTTTAGGGTTAATTGGCGTGCATGAATTTTTTTCATTTAATTTTCCCTTGCGCGTATATTTTTTTTTGTACTTCGCCCCCACCCCCACACCCATAAGTTCTCTAATGGTCCGTCCCTAAGATCTACAAGGGGAAGTTTAGCCGGGCTAAAGTTTGAAAAAATTGCTGAAAGCTTCTGCCATTTCGGGTTCCGGATTTATAACGTTATCGTCAATCTTAATTCCGGAGATGCTTCATTTTTGACAATTGCTGTTGCCGATGAAGTTCCACAGCAAAAGTATTTAACAGAGAAAACGGAAGCAATTTGGACCACTAGTTTCAAAAGAACAACGAAAATTGAGGTAACAGAACGTTTGATACGTCAGTGTGCACCAGTCAATGTAAACCCCCAAGTTTTGGCATGCGATATTTTTCCAGCAGAAGGTCCACGCATGGGACAAAGCTTTAAATGTAATATTTTGGTAAACTGTTCGGTCATCCTAGTCACATCCTAGGAGAACTTGCCACGGTTCCAACTCGTCTTTATTACAGTTATAACGAATTACGATTACGGTTGCTAAAAGCGAAACAAAAATACAAATTACCAACGAATAAAAATGACAGCTATGAAACAACGAAAATACAGGAAAAAGAAAGAAACTAAGCGAAAATACTTACAAACGTTGTGTGACTTGAAAGTTGAACCGGAAAAAGGTAAGATGGCTTACAAAACTGAACGAAAACTGCGATG